TAAAAAAAAAAATAAAAGAACATGTCAAAACAGAGAAAAAAACAGATTATAAAATAGCATGTACAACATAATCCTAATAGTGAAAAAAAAAGAGGCCTAGAGTAATCCCTAATCAGCTGCAAATTTACTAATTAATGTATCTTTACCAAATTTTAAAATCTTCTATTTTTATACACACACATATTTCCTTTGCTCCTTTAAAGAAAAAATACAATACTTATTGCTCCCCTTCCTGCTGGCCTGCTTATATGCCACCCTCACAATATATGGATCAGAGACTAGACTCATTAAAAAAGCATGTATTTCGTACCTTGTTTGAAAAGGCTAAGCATTTTGCCAATAACTAAACAAAAGGAGAATGCAAAAACAAAAGATCTCTCACAGATGAAAAAACAGTAACTTTTCTTTTCTCAAACAACTGAGGATGATTCAAGAGAATGTCTACATACCAGGCCTGTTGTTTTATGTAGATAAGCCTGGTTTGTTTTGGAAGTAGACATGCAAACTTTCCCACACATATTTAATGTCAGTTTTTGTTTTGTTTTTCGTCAAGCTCTCTATTTTCTGTGAAGTCTTAATATTGCCAGACAGTTTGGCCACCCTGCAGGAAAGTAACTCCTGCAGTGGACAAGGAGAGAAAGATACTAAAATGATAAACAATTATCTCTAGGGGTGAGACTGCAGTAGATCTCTCTTTTCTTCTTTGGACTTTGATGTATGATCAGAAGTTTCTAAAATGAATTTATCTTCCTCTTATAATCAGAAGAAAACATATTCAAAAGCCAATCAATTCCCTTTTTTTCATCAGGCCTTTGCTGAGGTGGGTCTCTGCTAGGTGTTCTGCTAGGTACCACGGACAAAAAGATGAATAAGGCATTATGCTTCCTGAGCAGTATGCACAGTGGGTACAATTATGCTTAGCCTCTGTTTTAGGGATAGGGAAAAAAATGAGCAAGAGGAGGTTTATCCTTAAACCACCTAATCAGGCCTCATCATGAACCTAGTCCACTGCCCTCCAATCACATAGTGGCAGCTGCTCAGGGTTATTTCATAGCAACTGTGGTTTCAGATTCCACAGCTTTCAAAGTTTCACAACTCTGGAATACACTGGAAATGCCTGCCCCTATTTTGCAACGAGGATAAATAATGACTGACAGTCAAAGAAAGACCAAGAAAATATGTTTCCACAGAGTCAGCTGTGTTATATATCATAAAGTGCCACAAAGTCAAAATGCACAAGCAAGAACTGGCTTTGCTTTTTAGACCTCTGCACAATTAATGCAAATGCCCCACTGAACAGCATAGAAAGGAGAAGAAAGATTTACCATGGTTTTTTGTTTCTTTAGAACATGTGAGATCAGTGGGAGGCCTCGCTTCCTGTACTGCTTCTTCTGGCTCTATCTCCGCCTGTAACCTACTGCTCTCAGCCTCCATTTTTTTCTTTTCATCCTCCTCCTTTTCCTTCTCCACATCTTCTTCTTCTTCTTCTTCTTCCTCCTCCTCTTCTACTTCAGGCTCATCCTTCATTCTCATTAGAGCTGGAGGGAGTTCTGGACGTTTGGGAGGTAACTTCTATAAAGGAAACAAAACCATGAATGAAGAGTTCCACATAATGAGAAAGAGACAACTCTCCTCAAGGAGGTTAAGCTAAATGTGGAGAATGTCTAACCCCTCCAGGTTGATGAACCCTGCAGAAGTCTGCTGGAAGGAGGACCTGCACATGAGCTTTTATCCATCTGTGGACCCTTAACACATATCTTTATTAGTTTCTAGGGTCCAAAGAATATTAAGTACAAAACACTTGAAACAGCTTGTAGGGAATGAAAACATTTATTCCAGGCGAGTACCTGCTGCAGGAATTCTGTCCTGTTACCCCTCAGGGGGTTAAAGGATCTTCATCACAAAATCTAAGAAACAGATTATTTGCCTAGATTTTTCACTTTAGATTTAACTCAATTTAAGGAAATAAGACATGTAAATCAGTAAAACAGATCCTGAAGAAAAGACATTCCTTGAAGAATAAAGTCAAACATTCTGATCAAGACCTCTCAATAAAAGTAATTATTAGAAAAAGTTGATTGCAGCTTAAGAAATAGAAAGTACCAAAGTGTACGTTGGGCATATCATTTTTTAAATAAAGGATTTAATTCAGTAATCCTTTCAAGGGAGCTTTTTATTTGATTTTTTTAATTTTATTTTAAGTAGGCTCCACGCCCAACATGGGCCTTGAACTTATGACCCTGAGATTAAGAGTTGTATGCTCTGCTGACTGAGCCATCCAGGCACCCCTAAAGAGAGTTTTTAAGTAGAGTTTTTCCACTAACTAAAACACAAGTACTTCCAGTACCCCCATCCTCACAGAAAAACCTCCATCTCAGGTCAACCACATACTCACTCACAACATATGGCTGGGACTTCAGGCTTCTTCCCCCAGATGGCAGTTTACCCTAATTGAAGGTGCTGGGGGCTGAATTCTGTCCCCACAAAATTCATACGTTGAAGTCCCAATCCTTAGTACCTCAGAAGTAACCATATTTAGAGATAAAATCTTTAAGGAGGTAAGTTAAAACAAAGCAGTTAGAGTAGGACCCTAATCCAATGTGGCTGGTTTTTTGTTTTTTGTTTTTTTTTGAGAGGGTGAGAGAGAGAAAGAGAGAGAGAGAGCATGCACGGAACGAAAGAACAGGGGAGGGGCAGAGAGAGAGGGAGGGAGAGACTCCCAAGCAGGCTCCGCACTGTCAGCCCCACCTGGGGCTCGATCTCACGAACCTTGATAGTGACCTGAGCCAAAATCTAGATTCAGACGCTTAACCGAGTCACCCAGGTATCCCACTATGACTGGTACTCTTATAAGAGGAGGAGGAGAGGGGAGACACCACAGGTGCAAGTGCACAGACAGGTGACCACGTGAAGATGCAGGAAGAGGGCAGCCATCCCCAAGCCTAGGAAAGAGACCTCAGGGGAAACCAACCCTGCTGGCATGCTGATCTTGGAACTGTAAGAAAATAAATTTCTGTCCTCTAAGCCACTCAGTCCGTGGTATTTGGTTAGGGCAGCCCTTGCACACTAATACACAAGATTCAGCTCTTTGGGGTGATGAAAACCTTCTAAAAGCTGGACCTGTAAACAGGGATGTATATAAAACAAAAACATTCACCAGTGAAGTGTTAGAGGATAACAGAGAGATCACAAAACTCAAAAAAGAGAGGACCTGGATTTGATTGCCAGTCTAGTCACTTAATGATGATGATGATGATGTGTCCCGTAATTAACTTCTCTGACCCTGTTTCCTCACCTGCGAGAGGTAATAATTCCCACAAGTCAGCAAGTGTTGAAGGGATTAAATGAAGTAAGGAACACCACATGGCAGAGCCGGGTGCAGTGACTATATAACTAACAAATGTTGAGTCCCACCAGGAAAAGAGACACTTCTGAAATGCAACATCCATCACAAATTAATACACTGATGTTCAATGTACAAATCAGTTATATGCAAATTGACTTGAGGGCTAAAAGTTTAACACCGTGACCCACAACTTACCCCTACTGTTCCCGTTTTTAATTTGAATTTGCTTCCTCCTTTCATGGCACCAAAGAGAGGCAACGTAAGCTTTTTAGCTTTGTTTTCCACATCTGTAGTCTGACTTTCAGTCCTAAGAAGAAAGAGTAATTGTACATGTCTATTCCAGTGAGGCCAAAATTTTATCTAAAAACACTCTGAACTCTGACAAAGAAACTTCTGGGAAACAAAAATTTCCCCAAAATGAATATCTAAGCATATACCAACAGGAAAAGGCCAACAGAGTCTGAATGGACAATGATACTGCTGACTGTCACAGACACAGGACTATTAAGGGTGAGATGAGGTTCTTAACTTCAGTAAGTCCCAACATGCTACATGACTTCACCTTCATAAAATGATGCTAACAGTACGAAGGTCACTGGCAAATGGGGCAAGATCCCATTCCCACTAAGTGGCAGGAGACGGGTCCACAAAGTAAAGCCCTATTTTCCACCAACCTCGCAAGAGGACCCACAGTGTCTTGCCTGGAGTCCACACTTATCATAACCATGGACAAAGGCTCTGATCACAGAAGTTAAAAAAACAAAAACAAAAAACCTCTGTGAAGGGGCTACGCTGTGTGGTGAGTAATGACAAGGACATAATGAGAGACCTTACAACTGGTGAGTTTGTCAGCATCTCACTGGCTGGAGAGAGTTATAACAGCTAAGCCCACCAGGGTAAAGCTAAGGAAGAGCAAAAAGAAGAGATTATAGAAATTGGGAAACAGCAGGGGCAAAAAAAAGGACACAGCAAAAACAAAAAGGATGTAGTTGAGCTGACAAGACATTCAGAGAGTAGGCAGAGGTGACGATGACAAGATAGCATGAGGAGACATAGGGAAGGGCAGGCCTGCATTCTGGAATACAGGGACAGCACTGGCACTCAAGACACACAGTGAGCCATATGAGAAAATGACCTTGCTGCTCTATAATGAAGCCCCATTTGTCACTACTACCTTCTTCTACCTAAGTCTTACCCCCTCAGTGGTGCTCTTGGGCCTAGCCTCACCACCTTGCTCTCTACCATGGACAGACCCATTGCCTTGCTAAGGCCACCAGAAAAATCCTGCCTGTTTGTCTATAAAGACTTTTCATCAAATACTATCCTTCACAGCCCCTCCCTACAGGTCTCGGGAAGGTTCTAGCATAGAAGACAAAAGCAAGAGCAACCCAGATATTCTTCAGCTCCATTAAATAGCTTGGCTTGTCTGGAAGATGGGCAAAGTCACCCCTAGGAGACAAAATGGCAGAAGACGGGATCCCAATCAAGAGCTGCTTGGGCAGGGGCAGGAGGGGTGTTAGGTAGAAAGGTTGGAAGGTCAACCAAAGTGAGAAGAAGAGGGAGAAGGTACACACATCTGTACATGTGCTGCTGAAGTGAGCACAAGGTACACACATCTGAAGTCCAGGATATAAAGTAGGAGAGGGAGGAGAAACTAAGCAGACACACAGACAGCAGGAAGGGAGGCTGTGGAGGAGACTGGCATACCTTCTCTGGAAGGGATGACTTAGCAAGGGAAAGGATTTCAGAGCTGGAATTAAAATTCACTGTTAATTTGTTTACCCTCAGCTATACCTCCAGAGTTTTTACCCTTTCTCTACAAACACAATGTTACAAATAACTGCTAGGTATAACAGAAACAGGACAATGATCACAATGATGATACAGACACTTTGTCAAGTGCTGTTCGAGTCATCTTTGCAACATCACCAGTACTTCTAATTGACAGACGAGGAAGGCGAAGGTCAAAGAAGTTGCATAATTTGCCTCAAAATGCCCAAAAAGTAATTGATAGAGTTGAGAATGAAAGCCAGGGAGTCTAACTTGAGTGCTAACCCCCCTCCTCACTATCAGTAAATCAAGTGCCACCAGGGTCAAACAAACCTTTGTGGACTGACCTATCAATCACTGCGTTAAATAACCAAACTACACATAAATCTTTTAACAAAACTGCTAGTAATTTAGGGACAAATTTTCTGTACAATCAAGGGCTCCAGATACATAAATACATTTTATCTTTACATCTCGACATAAAAATTGTCCCCCAGTACCTAGATGTTTATCTATACAATGCCCCCAGCATCAAGTCACAGGTTTTGTACACAGGGGTAAGGCGCCGCATACTGACAATCTAAAGCAGTGCCGTCCAACAGAATTTTCTGCAATTATGGAAACGCTCTGCATCTGCACTGTCCAATATAGTAGCCACTATCCACATGTGGCTACTGAGGAGTTAAATTGTGGCTAGTTGTCTGAAGAACTGAATTTGCAATGTCATTTCATTTTAATATCACATAAGACTAATGGGTGCTATATAGGAAGGACATCACAGATCAAAAGAAAATGAGAAACTTTCTAGAATTAATTACCTTCTTAAGTGTGTGTACCCATCTGGGCAATGCCACTTTTTGAGATGCCCACCTGGATTGTCCTGGATTGTGCTCACTTAAAGTGGCTTATTTCTACAACAACCTACTCAACATTTTCAAAATTTGTTGAGACCACATAGAACAAAATTTGAAAATATTGTCAAGTTGAAAGACTGGACCTTATTCTCTCTCTCTCTCTCTCTCTCTCTCTCTCTCTCTCTCTCTCTCACACACACACACACACACATTCATACACTCATGAATACTAGTCAAGTCTGGGAAAAATTATTCCCAAAATTTTGTTCACAGGGGCGCCGGGGTGGCTCAGTCAGGTAAGTGGCCAACTTCGGCTCAGGTCATGATCTCGCGGTCCGTGAGTTTGAGCCCCGCGTCGGGCTCTGTGCTGACCGCTCAGAGCCCGGAGCCTGTTTCAGATTCTGTGTCTCCCTCTCTCTCTGACCCTCCCCGGTTCATGCTCTGTCTCTCTCTGTCTCAAAAATAAATAAACGTTAAAAAAAAAAAAAAAATTAAAAAAAAATTTAAAAAAAAAAATTTTGTTCACAAATTACTAAAAAACCTTCTCGATTTCTACAAATGGATTTTCTTCCAAAAATTTCCCCAAAATCAACTTTAGGGGATTATGCCTTCCCCCATTTTAAAGGAAGAAATTCCACTTTAAAAGTATTTAAATACATTAAAATTGTCAACTGGTTCTTAGGAATGACAAATCAGGTGTTAAAATGACAATCTGTGGTTTTAAAATCATAGATAAAAAAATGGTATTACGTTGTTGTACTTGTCTTTCTCTTTCTCTTATGAGCAAGATTGAGCATCATTTTATATAGTTATATAGCTATTTGTATTTCTTTTTCAGTGGCCTGTCAGTTGATATCCTTTTCCCATTTTTCTCTTTGGTAGATGGTTGTCTACTTATTGGAAGGTCTTTATAGATTAGGGAAATTAGCCTTTTGTGCATGTTGCTCTTTAAAATTTACTCTGGGGGCACCTGGGTGGCTCAGCCAGTTGAGCATCTGACTTCAGCTCAGGTCATGATCTCACGGCTCATGAGTTCAAGTCCTGCGTCAGGCTCTGTGCTGACAGCACGGAGCCTGGAGCCTGCTTCACAATCTATCTCCCTCTCTCTCTGCCCCTCCCCTTCTCATGCTCTGACTTTCTCTCTCTTTCTCAAAAATAAACATTAAAAAAAAAAATCTTTTTAATAAAAAAATAAAAAATAAAGAAGTTTACTCTGCATTAAAAATTAAGAAAAAAATCAGAGCTTTCCAATGAAAAAGGAATCAATATAGTTTTCTCTAAAAATCCTACAGCAGTCTATATTTCACAAATGAAATGGCTTTTTACTCTATGAAATCACTGCCTTCTGTGCTTTAAAGGGTTCCCTACAGTCTATTTTTATTCTGTAATGATTATCTAAGAAAATAAAGATATAATGGGACTCCTGGGTAGCTTAGTCGGTAAGCATCCAACTTTGGCTCAGGTCATGATCTCACAGCTTGTGAGTTCAAGCCATGAGTCGGGCTCTACGCTTACAGTAGAGAGCCTTGCTTGGGATTCTCTCTCCCTTGTTCTCTGCCCCCACCCCCCACTCATACCTTCTCTCTCTCTCAAAATAAATAAACTTAAAAACAATTTAAAAAAAAGAAAGATATAATTCAAAATGTTATCTGTGCAAACATGCTTATTTAAAATTTCAAGTATAACTAAGACTTACTTTTTTAGTTCTGGAATCTCTGCTGGTTTTACAATTTTTATCAACCCTTTAAGTCTCTGTAGTTCTTTCCTCAGTTCAAAAGTTCTCAGGTGAAGTTTCTTCCGGGACACACCATCCAATGCACTCCCTGATTTCATTTCTGACATGAACGCATCTAAGGAGTCCTGAGATGGTGACTCTGATAAAGCTGTCCAAGAAAAAGATAATACATGTTTAGAAAAATTGCCTCAAATATTTTAAAACTCAGCCAAAGTTTCTGTAGAAAAGTCAGTAACTTAAAGTTGGACAGAGGACATTACTGGTATTAGGAATAAGAAAACAGGTTATAGCTTGGAGACCTTGGGACATCACTTTGCCTTAATGCACTTCATTCCCCTCATCTATTACATAGAAAGTTTAAACCAAATAATTTATAATGTTCCTTATAGTTCTAAGATGTTCTGTTGTTCCTTAGAAAGGCTCCATATTCTGTACATCTTACTAACTAGCTTGGAAGAGTGCAATACTTATGGGAGATGCCTTATACATATTTGTTTCATGGGTCATTAACTTACCTTTGCTTGACGCTTTCAGTTTCTCAGAAATTTCAGAGAGTTCCCTTTCAGCATCATTTAACTTTGCAACCTGTAATGCCCAGATTAACAGGGTTAACAAATGTTTTTCTTCTTTCAAAATATGGTAGCTTTCCTGTTTTCCTCATTTTATTTCCACTATTGTTACAAGTTTAAGAGGATTCAATCAGAAGTGTAATTAAATGTGCTCTTTATGGAGTTAACATTTTCATGTGTTTATATGATTCAAGCTGAGTTAATTTCTGAATTCAGAATTTAACAGAATGAAAGTACAGAACATAGACTTGACTTTACTCAGAAGAAAGAACTCAAGTCATTTCTTTTCACTGATGAATCAAAGAACAAAGCAAAACAAAACAAAACAAAAAAACAACAGATGTTGGGTAATGTTTTAAGCTCTGAATACTACTAATTATAGTGAAAAGACATGCTATCTTATAATGATTTCATGAAGGATATACTACTTAAGACTATTACCAAACTACATTCCTCAAAATTCCTTTCACAATTCTTGACTGCCAGAAGTCTAAAGTTGATTTCACCTCAGAATGTCCAAATCTGGAACTTTTTCCTTTCTTTTTATGAGATTAACATCATACCCAAAGAATGCTTATGAATGGATCAAGATCCACTGTGAGGCAGACAGAGTCTCTAGCAGCAAGCCAAACTTTTCTCCAACTTGTGTAAGACTAGTTGTTTGTTACTATCAAATTTACAGATCAAGAAAGTTATACTTGAGTACCAGATTTCAACACCACTGCTTTAAAAATTGTAATTATAAAACAAATTTAAATAATATATTATCTTATTAAAAAATTAAACTACCACAGCTACTTCTATAAATAAAACTTGCCAATGATTCAAACGTCTCTGGCTTCTCATCAATCTTCCCAGCCTTCTTCATACGGTTCAGACGCTTCTTTTCAACCAGGCCGGTCCGATCAAGAAATGTGTCATCATCACTATCATAAAAGTCTTCATCCTCCCAGTTCTTGGCTTTCCTTTTCCGAGATACTAGAAGGAGATAAAAAAAAAGTGGTAATGAAATAAGTTAAAAAGAAAAAGAATCTTTCAATTATTGAAAGATTCAACAAGCTGTCAAACTACATATAAAAACAAAGGGTTAGGGTGCCTGTGTGGCTTAGTCGGTAAAGCATCCAATTCTTGATTTCAGCACAGGTCATGATCTCCCATGCTGGCAGTGCAGAGCCTGCTTGGGATTCTCTCTCTCCCCCTCTCTCTCTTCCCCTCCCCTGCTTGCACTCTGGTTCCCTCTCATAAATAAATAAGTAAATGAACAAACTTAAAAACAACAACAACAAAGCGTTAAACCTGGAAGACATTATGCTAAGTGAAATAAGCCAGACACACGATTCCACTTACATGAGTTAACTAGAATAGTCAAATTCAGAGAAACAGAAGGTAGAATGGTAATCATCAGGGACTAGTGGAAGGAAGAATGAGAAATTAGTGTTTAATGGGTACAAAGTTTCAATATGGGAAGATGAGAAAGTAATGAGATGGACATAGCAATGGTTGCACAACAATGTGAATGTATTTAATACACTTAATGCTCACAATGGTGAATTTTATGATATGTATGTTTTACCACATTAAGAAAAATTAAACAAAGGGCTAATTTATTTAATGAACAAAAGGCTCTCAAAAATCAATGAGTAAAAAAGGAAAAAGATAAATGAGGAGAAGTTCAATAATCTAAAAGAAAATTTGGGAAAGAATAATCAAAGCAGTTCACAGAGAAAGAAATACAATGGCCAAAACATTTTATAAGATGTTAATAATGCCCAATTTGGCAAGGGTACAGGGAAATGGACTCTCAAACATCTGATGGGAATTTACATTGATACACAATCTTCTTTTTTTTTTTATGTTTATTCATTTTTGAAAGACATAGAGAGACAGAGCACAAGCAGGGGTGAGGTGGAGAGAGAGGGGGACACAGAATCTGAAGCAGGCTCCAGGCTCTGAGCTGTCAGCACAGAGCCCAATGCGGGGCTCGAACTCACTAACCTCAAGATCATGACCTGAGCCGACGTCAGATGCTCAACCGACTGAGCCACCCAGGTGCCCTGTTACACAATCTTTTTGATGGTCAACCTCACAATATCTGTCAAATGCAATTGATCTAACAATTCTACTTATAGGAAATTATCCTATGGGTATCAATGCCCTGTTATTTGTAACAGTGAAAATCTGGAAAGCCCATCAATAGGGAACTATGTTAGCTATTACTTTTTTGTCCACCCTATGCCATGTTACTCCTCTTGTTATGCTAAAAGTACCCCTTTTCTTCTAGAATACTCCTCCTCCATTCCATCTGGATTAGGGGCCATCATGTGACCAAAGCCAAATCGGTAAGAATCCTTCCCTCATATTTATATTTAGATACGTGCAAAAAAGGGCTCTCTTTCCAATGAGATTATGAAAGAGGGAAGATACAAATCTAAGCAGTGAGCAGCCAGCTCTTTTGCATGGGGTAAGAATCTGTCTGCAAAATAAAACCATATGCTCATGTGACAGACTCACACACATACACACACACAGCTTTTATGGTGTCCTGTGACACTGAGACTTCTGGTTTGATAGGACCAGAACTTAAGGTCCTAGTTCATACAGTTCCTCCTTCAATCCTGTAAGCAATTCTTCTCAACCTGGAGAAGAGATGGACAATAGTGGAGATGGAGCCAATAACTTTTCTCCCTAAGCTAGTCTGAATTGGGTTTCTATTATTTACAACCAAAACAGTCCTTATTGAAAAAACTTCATGATTTCCAGGTTAAGATGGTACACTGAACATACATATGTAATTTCACTCTCTCCCCATATCCCACTAAAGCTGTGGTAAAGAGATCTGTTTTAAAAACATTAATCTACTGGGGCACCTGGCTGGCTTAGCTGGCACAGCATGGGACTCTTGATCCTGGGGTTGTGAGTTTGGGTCCCATGTTAGGTACAGAGCTTACTTAAAAATAATTAAACAAACAAACAAATAAATAAATAAACATTAATCTACAAAGACAGAACAGGAGAAGGAATAGCAATACCTACTTTTTGGAAATTATAAAACAGACAGACAAGTGGAAACTTAACTTAGCAGAACTAAAAAAGATGAATCCTAAAACAACAGTGGGGAAAGATGAGAACCAATCTGATGATACTGCAGAATCCTCAAAAGGATCTGGAACCGGGGATAGATAGTAGTGCTAAAATAAAAAGAACTGAGTAAAAGCTGGTTGAGAAAAAGATCCTCCTCCCTGACTACTTACCTCCTCATCCCCAGAAAAAAATCCAGAGGTTAATCCCTAGAAAGGGTAAGATAAAAAGTCTTTGCATTGTGGACTGCCCAGTTTATGTTCTATATTCCACATATTAAATATGTATTTATTTATTCTAAAAATAGTACTGTCCTGAAAATAGCTGAATTTTGAGAATCTGCTCAGCCATCTTCCAGCACTTAGCTCTAAGAATTTCAGGAAGGAAGAATTTCAGGAATTTCATGCAGGAAGTCAGAAGAGTACTCTCTGAGGAATCCCGCCAGCAGAAGAGGAAAAAACCTAACGATTCTTACATGAGGAGTTCCCCAACAAAAGGCCCACATTAATCTATAGTGTTACTCAAAGGTAATAAGCCCCACCTATATATTCCAAGCTGTCAATCACCTTTTTTGTCCCCAAATAAGAATCTACACCCAAGGACTACACAAAAACTGGGAAACACCTCTAACATGCAGGACCGAGACTACACAAAAAAGAAAAGGCAGAGATTAGCAGCAAGATGAGATACTTAAAATCCAGGAAACAACAATAGCATATTATATTTTAAAAATGAATACCCAAAGGACAAAAATGAGTCTTGGAAATTAAAATCTTGATTGCAAAATGTAAAGATAAAGCTGCAGAAATCTCCCAGAAAGAATAAAAAGACATAGAGATTAAAAAAAAGAGGGGCGCCTGGGTGGCTTGGTCGGTTGAGCGTCTGACTTCGGCTCAGGTCATGATCTCACGGCCTGTGAGTTCGAGCCCCGCATCGGGCTCTGTGCTGACCGCTCAGAGCCTGCAGCCTGTTTCAGATTCTGTGTCTCCCTCTCTCTCTGCCCCTCCCCTGTTCATGCTCTGTCTCTCTCTGGCTCAAAAACAAATAAACGTTGAAAAAAAAAAAAGAAAGAAAAAAAGGGTAAGAAACTTAAATGGTCAGTCTAAGATGTTCAATATCAAAATAACAAAATTCAAGAGAGAAAGAGAAAACAGAAGGATGAAATGATTAATGGCATAATTCCAGAAATGTTTCTAACTATCAAAGATTTCCAGATCAAAAGGACCCAACAAGTACCTAGAAAAATGGATGAAAATAGACCCACAGAAAGGTACATCATAGTTAAGTTTCAGAAGCTTGAGAACAAAGGGAAGCTCCTACGAACTCCTAGTGTGTGTGTAGGGGATGGGAAATGACATACACTAGATAAGGATTCTGAACCCGTTAGGACTGCAAGAGCAACACTGAATATAAGGTGGTAACGGTAATACCTTCAAAGCTGTGAAGGAAAATTATTTCCCATTTAGAATTCTATTCCTAGCCAAACAATTAACCAAGAGTAAAGCTAGAATAATTGTATTTTCAGAGTGGGGAATTTAATATAGTTTACTTGCTATACATCCTTTCTCAAGAATTCACTACATGTCCACCAAAATGAAAGAGTAGACCAGGAACAACGAAAGAAGTGAAATCCACTGGAGACTATCATCATCCATGACCTCTATTGTTGTACCAGCTTTTTAATCTGCAAAACTACAGAAAGATGTGCTCCACTAAAACAAGGGAATAAACCAAGAAACATGAGAATCTGGGAATCAAGAAACAGAAAATCCAACCCTGGAGAAAGACAAAGGAAATGTCAAGGATGACAGCAAAATGAGGTCCCAGATGACAGTGCTCCAGTAGGTTCAGAGAATAGTGAGCCCTGAAAGCACATTGCTCTTCAGGAGAAATGTTTCCAAAAAAAATCAGAACTGATCAATTCCTTGATGTGATTGACCATGTGGAAAAATATACTGAAAGGCTCTTGAAAGATGTGGAAAGAATGAACAGAGCTACAAAAAATCCACACACATGAAAAACAAACAATTATTAACTTTAGGAAAAACAAAAAGAAAAAACTCCTCAGTTTAACTAATATTTGCATAAACATAATCGTGTAAATATTAAATACTGATTTAACAGAGTCAGTACATAATGTTTAAAATAAGTGATTCAGTTGCACCTGGGTGGCTCAGTTGGTTAAGTGTCCAACTCTTGATTTTGGTTCAGGTCATGATCTCACGGTTAGTGGGTTTGAGTCCCACATCCGGCTCCACGCTGACAGCAAGAAGCCTGCTTGGGATTCCCATTCTCTCTACTCCTCCCCTGCTTGCGCACTCTCTCAAAATAAATAAACTTATAAAAAGTTCAGTCATAAAATAAAATAAAATATTCAAAATAAAACAGCATACTCTTCCTTTTGGGAAATACGGATATTTTTAAATGCCAGAAAAAATAATTAAAAGAGTTAAAAGCCTTCTAAGATTGAAGACTGGGGAGAGGCAGGGCAAGGAACAGGTATATTTTGTGTAAGCCTTTGGTAGTTTTTTGGGTTTTTTTTAATTTTTATTTATTTTGAGAAAGAGAGAGAAAGAACGTGAGTGTGGAAGGGCAGAGAGAGAAGGAGAGAGAATCTCAAGCAGGCTCCAGGCTATTAGTGCACAGCCTAATATGGGGCTTGATCCCATGACCCTGGGATCATGACCTGAGCTGAAATCAAAAGTCGAATGATCAATTGATTGAACCACCCAGGTGCCCCAAGCCTTTGGTAGTTTTAAATAATACATAAGTTACTTTGCGATAATACAAACTAATTTTAGAATAAACACAAATATAACATAAGCCTTTATTAATAAATGATATAGCCAGAAGGGCTTTTTATTTTTATTTATTTTTGAAGTTTATTTTTGAAAGAGAGAGAGAGAGAGGGAATGAACGCAAGGGAGCAGGGCAGAGAGAGATGGAGAGTGAGAGAGAATCCCAAGCAGGCTCCATGCTGTCAGTGCAGAGCCCGACATGGGGCTTGATCCCATAAAGAACCATGAGACCATGACCTGAACCGAAATCAAGAGTCAGATGCTTAACTGACTAAGGCACCCAGGTGTCCCTGACAGGCTTCTAAAAATGAGATAAATTTGGGGCGCCTGGGTGGCGCAGTCGGTTAAGCGTCCGACTTCAGCCAGGTCACGATCTCGCGGTCCGGGAGTTCGAGCCCCGCGTCAGGCTCTGAGCTGATGGCTCAGAGCCTGGAGCCTGTTTCCGATTCTGTGTCTCCCTCTCTCTCTGCCCCTCCCCCGTTCATGCTCTGTCTCTCTCTGTCCCAAAAATAAATAAACGTTGAAAAAAAAATTAAAAAAAAAAAGAGATAAATTTTATGCAATTATATAGACAATATCCATGATACATTCTTACATTAAAATTCTAAGTCATGAAAGAGTATAATATAAATAAATGCATTTGTGTATGAAGTTTGCTTTTTATTAAAGTATCTAGTTCCGAACACAAATCTATACTCATAAAAAATTTCTAAGAAAATATGGCTTCTAAGGGGCGCCTGGGTGGCTTAGTCGGTTGAGTGTCTGTCTTTGGCTCCGGTCATGATCTCACGGTTCTTGAGTTCAAGTCCCGCATCTGGCTCCGTGCTGATGCCTTGGAGCCTGGAGCCTGCTTCAGATTCTGTGTCTCCCTCTCTTTCTGCCCCTCCCCTGCTCATGCTCTGTCTCTGTCTCCAAAAAATAAAATGCATAAAAAAAAAAATTTTTTTTTTTAATAAAAGAAAATATGCCTTCCTTTGGGTACTGAGATATGGAATATTTTCTTTTCAGCTCATAGAATTTCACGCAATTTTACATTTTCTCCCTAAAAAGTCATTTCATGGGGCGCCTGGGTGGCTCAGTCGGTTAAGCGGCCAACTTCGGCTCAGGTCATGATTTCGCGGTCCCTGAGTTCGAGCCCCGTGTCAGGCTCTGTGCAGACAGCTCAGAGCCTGGAGCCTGTTTCAGATTCTGTGTCTCCCTCTCTCTGACCCTCCCCCGTTCATGCTCTGTCTCTCTCTGTCTCAAAAATAAATAAACGTTAAAAAAAACAAAATTAAAAAAAAAAAAAGTCATTTCGTTGCCTTTTGTGTTAAATTCTTCCTTCCTTTCTTCTTTCTTTCTCTTTTTCTCTCTCCCTTTTTCTCTCTCTGTCCCTTCCTTCCTTCCTTCCAAAAACAAAGTGTTCCCATATACTCACCTGCCTCCTGCCGCAGCAACCCCAAAGTATCAAGGATTCGACAAGCCTCCAGTGAACACTGGATCATTGCTTCTTTTTTCTTTCCCGAATGAATGGCCTCAGCTACCAGTTGTTTTCCAGTTGAATCATCCACAGGTAATCTGTATTGGTTTGGAGTGAATCATAGCATAGTACTAAGCTCCAATTCTCATGAAAAAAACTAATATGCGGTGAAAATAGTCATTTCTTTTGACATGGCTTTTTAATCTCTCCGTTCATTTTGTTATATCTTGCCAAGGTTGGACCTTAAATCTTTTCCTAATGCCTCTGACCCATCCCACCCCACCTGCCAATGATATATGTTATTAAACTATCAAGGCCCAAATTCAGGAGTAGCCTAAAAATAAGACTAAAGTTATTCTTTGGGTCTACTGTCTATTACCTAAAATTGGCCACTTTTCACAAAAGGACATTAATGAGAACAGAACATACCTCACCCTACAGAGCCAAGTGCTGTGCCCCTGTTCATCAAATTCATATTCTAATTCTTCTCCTGTGGGAGGAAGAAAGACAAAACAATTTTAACAGTATATGAAAATTACTAGTTAAGACAAAGGGAAAAGAGAGGAAAGGTTGATAAAAGAATATCAAGTTCCAGGGCACCTGGGTGGCTCAGTCAGTTTAAGTGTCTGACTCTTGATGTCAGCTCAGGTCATGATCCCACGATTCATGAGACTGAGCCCCACATCAGGCTCTGAGCTGTCCCTGTTTGGGATTCTCTCTCTCAAAATAAATAAACATTTAAAAAAAATAGAATATCAAGTTCCCATACCTCATTTAACACTAAATTTCAAAGCATTTCACTTCTTATTTCCAGGAATTATTATCTGATAATAAAATAAGGGGGAACTTGAGGCAAAGAAAAGCAAACTCAGACCAGAACAATCAGCTTGCCATAAATAGCTTTGTCCACTACATAGCAACTTTTACACTTATTATAAGTGCAGATGTAAGTTGTCACTTTGGTTTTTAGAAGCACAAATATTGGGGTGCCTGGGTGGCTCAGTTGGCTAAGCATCTGACCTGAGCTCAGGTCATGATCTCGCAGTTTGTGAGTTTGAGCCCCACATCAGGCTCTGTGCTGACAGCTCAGAGTCTGGAGCCTGCTTTGGATTCTGTGTCTCCCTCTCTCTCTCCCCCTCCCCTGCTCATGTTTTGTCTCTGTCTCTCAAAAAATGAATAAACATTAAAAAAAAATTTTTAGAAGCACAAATATCAAGGGCAGAATGCAACCAGTTCATATATATATTCACACACACACACACACACGTTCTCTCAAAGCATTTCTACTGAAACAGTCCTCTGTGGAAACATTCTTTAAATTATATAAGGTGAACATCCATGTTAAGAATTACAAAAGATGAGGGGCGCATGGGTGGCTCAATTTGTTAAGCTTCCGCCTCTTGATCTCAGCTCAGGTCATGATCTTGTGGTTTGTGGGTTCAAGCCCCGCATTGGGCTCTATGCTGATGGCATACAGCCAGCTTGGGATTCTGCGTCTCCTTCTCTCTGCCCCTCACCTGCCTGTGTGCATGCTCTTTCTCTCAAAATAAATAAATAAATATTAAAAAAAAAAAATTATAAAAGATCAGATGAAGTAGAAACAAAGAATTTTAAGAAGTTAGGTCAATCTCCCCACCACCCCCAAGTCTAGGATCTTCTGAGAATAATGAGACCAGACGAGTCGGAAAAAAGTAGTCCCTTTTTTCCAACTTTCCAAGAAAGACTAACGAGATTTTTACTGTTTTCAAAATAAACCTGAAGCAACTGACCACAAGGGCAAGAACTGAGCAAGGAGAGCAGCAGATAAAACACAGCATTTCTAAGTACCTTGAAGATCTACAAGACAATGCTGCTGTGGAAACCTTCCACTGGCAGGGTCAGAATCTGTTTACATACCTTCTCGGTCAAAAAAACCTTGGAGAGCCTTTTTTGGATCCTTTATATAGAAGGCCTCCCTTTCCTGCTGAAACTCTAAGACAATGGGGTTCTCTTCAGCCTCGTCCTCTACAGCATCTTCTCCTACAGGATACGGTAAAGAAAGAAAAGACAGACATAAGAAGAGACTATCTGAATGACACCCACTTTTCATTTAGCCTGCATAAAGACACAGTTATCAATGAAAAGAAAGGTGGGGGGTGGGGGACAAGGGGGCATACAAAACCACCAATATAAATATCTTTAGTTTTCCTAAATCGTGTGACAAATTAAAACTTGTTTTCATGGCATCTTTTGTTTATCCCCCATCACTATATTTCAAAAACAAAATTACCTACCACATTGTCCATGGGAAGAAATCTAAGCTTCTTGGCCTGGCATTCTCATTCTCTATCACCTGGGTCTAATACTCTGTCTCCGATATAATTTCTTAATATTTACCATATCTGCCAGATGGACTGGCCTTCTCATTACCCCTTTAAAATCATCAATCTCTAGGGGCACCTGGGTGGCTCAGTCAGTTAAGAGTCCAGCTTTGGCTCAGGTCATGATCTCACAGCTTGTAAGTTTGAGCCCCACGTTAGGCTCTGTGCTGACAGCTCAGAGCCTAGAACCTGCTTCGGATTCTGTCTCCATCTCTCTCTGCCCCTCCCCTGCTCATGCACTGCCTCTCTCTCTCTCTTTCTCTCTCTCTCTCTCTCTCTCAATCTCAAATATAAATAAACATTTAAAAATAATATGGGGCGCCTGGGTGGCTCAGTCGGTTAAGTGTCTGACTTCGGTTCAGGTCATGACCTCATGGCTTGTGAGTTCGAGCCCCGCGTCGGGCTCTGGGCTGATAGCTCAGAGCCCGGAGCCTGTTTCGGATTGTGTCTCCCTCTCTCTGCCCCTCCCTTGTTCACACTGTCTCTGTCTCTCTCAAAAATAAACATTAAAAAAAATAAATAAATGAATGAATAAATAAATAAATAAATAAAATCATCAATCCCTACCCTGAATATTCGATATTCAGCTTCCTAAGTGCTAATTTTTCTTTCCTTCAAGTTCCAACTCAAGACCCGTCTGTTTGTAGACTTAAAAACTTTCCCAAATTTTAAGTCAGTGTTGCTCAAAAGAAATATAATGAAAGCCATACATGAAAGTTTTCATTTTCTAGTAGCCACATTAAAAAGGAGCAACCAGTAAAATTATCATGTAATCAGTATAAAAATACTATGAATGTGGTATTTTATATTCTTTTTTCACACTAAGTCTTTGAAATCCAGTGAGTATTTTACATTTATAAAACAAGTCAGCTTGGACCAACCAGACTGTAAGTGTTCAATAACCACATGTGGGTAGTGGCTACAATACTGGACAGTGTGGGTCTAAGTCCTTAGTGATCACTCCCTTCTCTGAACCCTTACTCTAGCATACTTATGGTTTCTATAGCTTTTGTTTGGCACTTACAAAAGTAATTTCATAATATTTATCCAGTCTTCCCAACAACATATTAAGGCATTCTTTTTTTTATATTCCTAGCCCCTGAATACCCATTGTCCAAAATGTCTGGTATTATGGGAAGTTCAATTTATTCCTCTGGCTAAAGGATGAGGTTTCCCTGATTAGCTATTTTGCATTTCAGGGAATTTACACAAAGTACAAAAATTCGAAGGACTATCCTATATTGAACATTCCATGTTACTTGACTGAATATAGTTCCATCCTCTCCAATGATAATAGTCAAGGCCAGTACCATTTAAATGGTAAAAATAATAAATTAGTTGTATGCTGAGGAAGAGTTTACAACAAGGGAGTGGACTGTAAAATGCATTAAAAGACTGGGCTCCTGGCTGGCTCAGTCCACAAAGCAGGCAACTCTTGATCTCTGGGTTGTAAGTTTGAGGCCCACTCTGAGTGTAGAGATTACTTAAAAGTAAAATCTTAAAAAAAAAAAAAAAAAGAAAGAAAGAAAAGAAATCCATAGTGCCTGTAATTCACCTTTTTGACATCAGAAAAGTTAATGAATCTCTGTGGGTTTTGGTAGTCTCGTGTGCAAATTGTATTTGTCCCATCTATCTCAAATAGTCATGAAAGGTGTATGATAGAAAACAATTAAAGATACCACCAGTAATGAATTTAAAATATTAACCTCTGGCAGCAATTTTAATTTCTTACCCATTCCCCAGGTGCAGCCCATTTCATCATCTTGACTACTAGTATTTCTCTTCCTTTCATTGGTATCCATTTCTTCTTCCTCATCCGAGTCTTCTCCTAGCATCTTCTTCTCCAACATCATTTGTTGCTGCTTGCGCAATTCTTTCAATTGCGTTACTGTCAACTCGGATTCTGCTTCTCGGTCTTCCTCTGGTCCCTGATGAACCAAGAGAAAGAATTCTTTCAGAGTTCAGGATCGCTGAATTCATATCTCACTTTCAGAAATATGGCAATGTGGGGGCGCCTGGGTGGCTCAGTCGACTAAGCGTCCGACTTCCTCTCAGGTCATAACCTCTCAGTTCGTGGCTTCGGGTCCCGCGTGGGGCTGTGTGCTGACAGCTCGGAGCCTGGAGCCTGCTTCGGAGTCTGTGTCTCCCTCTCTCTATGCTCCTCCCCTGCTCAAGCTCTCGCTCTCTCGCAAAAATAAATAAACATTAAAGTAAAATAAAAGAAAAAATTACGGCAATGTGTACAGAGGCCTGGAAAGGGGCCAGATTCTCCCACTTTTGTAATCGCTTACTGGGAGAATCTCCTTCCTCCGCTAAAGCTTAAGGAGCTCTGGAACCCAGCCCGGTGCGCTCCGGAGATTTCAGTCCTAGGTTTTTCTACTTACCTGAAGAAGAAACAGCCGGGTGCTGCCTCCAAAGCGAAGAACATGCCCGACGTGGACGCGACAATAGGTGCGGGGTGGGATGCGGGTTTTGTTAAGAAAAGTGCCATGGGTGCTTCCCAGATCGTAAAGGTAGAAGCCAGGCCCGTGGCCGTCGCATTCTCCTTCGAGGCCGGACACCCTGTGCTGCAGCACGGCGTGGTACCGAGACACCGAAGGGTGCTCCAGGCACACGTCGCAGCTAGACAGCCTCCCGAAAAGGCAGTAGCTTGTCCCTTTCAAGCTCCAGGTGCCAAGGATGGTGCCGCTCTTCAGTGTCTCTAGGCTGTAGGGGGCCGTGGCGGGGCCGCCCCACGGCGGCTCTCGGTACGGTGGAGCCCGGGCCGGACCGCCAGGGGATGGAGCCGCTGTGGGCGGCCGCGGCTGCTCCTCCGGTGGACTCCTGGTGTCCCCGCTGTCCGGCCGCACTGGCGGGACGTCAGGCTCCACGGAATCGGGGTCTAGCAGCGCCGTGGGCCCTTCCTTCTTCACCTCCTCAGGGTCTGAAGGACTGGTGGCGGGGGCCCTGCCCCGCACAGCCGGGGGCACCGGCAGGGTTGGTTTCTTGAAATCGTCATTGAGCTCTTGCAAAGCCTGAGGCTCGGACTTAAAGGAGCTATCGGCCATCCTCAATCGGGTGCGGTCTCGGAATCTGTTCCTGGGAAACCTCCCCCTTCGGTCTCTAGGTTCCTCTCCACGCCTCGCTCTCCCAGCTCCCGGTGGCTTCTCTGAACCCCGATGGCGGATTTGTTCCTTCACCACCTGCCACGTTACGAAGAGATGAATATCAAGGGCAGGTCATAATAAGAAAAACAAAAACAAAAAACAAAAAACAAAACAGTAAAAGGCGGCCGAGGAGCTGTCAGCACGGGGACATCTTTAGAGGTTGCAACCGGATAGTAATGACTTCCTGTGGCACAGCCAGATTGAGCAGAAGCGCTTCCGGCAGCCTGGGACCACTAATCCGAAAGCCAGTCTTCCGGGCCTGGCGCGACCCTCGCCTCGGGCCTTTCCGAGTCGTATAGTCGCGCAGCCCAGCTCCTGCGAAGCGGCAGTGAATAGTGCCTCCGTCCAGGTCCAGACCTCCTCGTCTCCCGGCTGCTCCGGGCATCAGGAGACCCCAGGATCCTGTGATTGGCGCCTGTGCCTGCTGACCGTGACCGAGGAGCCCCGAGGGACCTGGACGTTCCTTGAGCTTGGTGCCTGTTCTTCGTCCTCTTTTCGGTGAAATTAAGGAAGAGGGCGATTTTTTGTGTGTCCCCTCATTGATCCGTTTCCTTTTTTTTTTTTTTTTTTTTTTTTTTTTTTTTTTTTTTAATTTTTTTTTTTCAACGTTTTTTATTTATTTTTCGGACAGAGAGAGACAGAGCATGAACGGGGGAGGGGCAGAGAGAGAGGGAGACACAGAATCGGAAACAGGCTCCAGGCTCTGAGCCATCAGCCCAGAGCCCGACGCGGGGCTCGAACTCACGGACCGCGAGATCGTGACCTGGCTGAAGTCGGACGCTTAACCGACTGCGCCACCCAGGCGCCCCATAATCGATCCGTTTCTTTGTTCATTCTTTTGTTTGTTTTCCAAAACCAGTTATTGAGACTGCATAATGTAGTGGTTAAGAGCCTGACTATCTGGATTGTCTCCCTCGGTCATTTGTGATATTGGGAAAGACAGTGGGCCTTAGCTTCCACCTTTAAAAACTGAGGTAGTTGGGAAAACCGAATCAAACAATAAAGGCATAGCCTGGCACATAGTAAGCGCTCACTAAATGCCGGGTATACTGTGTGCCAGACACGGTACAAAGATCATGGTTGTGGGAGATAGATGAAAGAATAAAATTGATTGAGACAAGTACTAGTTTAAATCCATGCGTAAATGCTGTGATGGAAACACCAGAAGTGCTGTGAGAATATAATAAAGGGAGATTTACTGGGGAGATGATGGGGAGTGGTAACTTAACCTATACTTAAGAATGAATAAAAGTCTGCCAAGAATGTAGTGGGTGGCAGGGCATTTCTGGCAGATCACAACTTAAAGGGTCAATTTGTGGAAATACATGGCATTCTCAAGAAACTGAGTAGAATGATGTATGTTAGAACTAGGGTAGTAATTTCCTCCAGGAAGCTCCCTCTTTGTTATTCCACTGCACCAGGTCTGTGTCTCTAGAGCAGCCCTTTCTGCACATTTTTGTATCGAAATAGTCTGTTTATATTTCTCTCCTTCACCTCAGGTCGGGGATCTGGCTGTGGTCTTTGTCTTCTTCCATAATGTGTGGCATTTGGTAAACATTTGTTCAACTTGAAGAGACATATGGGCAATGAATCTGGAAAGGTGGGTTGAAGTCAGATTGCAAATTTTGATCAATGGTAGACCAAAGAATTCTGGCTGACTTTTTCCAATAGGCAATGAGAAGCCATTAGATCTGAGTTGTAATAAGAGTAAGTCTAGCAGCACTGGAGAATAGATTAGACACAAGGAGAGACTGGAGTAAGGGATGCCAATTAGGAGGCAGCAGAAATCACTCAGATTCTTCCCTGTGTATGTCAGAAGTTCAATGCCTAAGACCATTTAGATTACTGGTCAATAAATTTTTCCACCAGGATCCATTGAAATATTGCTCATGTTTTTGACATACACAGAATAAGAACCACCTCTTCCTATCTTTACTCCCTTTTCTCCTACTGATTCAGGACAGATGTGTCAAGATACTCTGAGAAATATTCCAGGTGTCATTTAAGTATCTTGCCTTGCAAATTGCTCAAGATTGGGCACGATGATAGTTCTAGTAATGAGTTAGTGGGGTGAGATGGAAAACACGGACACTAGAGCTGCCAATACTATTGCAGCTGTTAGTCTCCTAATGACCCAAATGCCACCTATGGCTCAGTCCAGTAGGAATTGTCATTGTGTGTGACTGTGGTGACTGGCATCTAACAGTTGTATCTCTCTTAATTTCTTCAGGGAGAATATCTTTGGTCCTACAGCGTTGCTGACACTGATATTTTCTAAGTCGTGTTAAACAGCCTACTTTTTATGTCAATAACTGGCCAGACTTCATATTTTTCACCACAGAAGCCTATAACCTAGAGATTTAAGAACACTGTTTCGGTTATCACTACATTTAACGTGAAAGTTCTTTCTTATTCCAAAATGTTGAGATACTGGGGAGAGATACCAATCTCATCAAGCCAGACCAACAGGAGTTCCTTTGATTTGCTCCCACGGGAGTTCCGTCTTGTGGAAGTCCATGACCCACCCCTGCATCAACCCTCAGCCAATAAGCCCAAGCCCCCCACTATGCTGGACATCCCCTCAGAGCCATGCAGCCTCACCATCCATACCATTCAGCTGATCCAGCACAACCGACGTCTGCGCAACCTCATTGCCACAGCTCAGGCCCAGAGTCAGCAGCAGACAGAAGGTGTAAAGACTGAAGAGAATGAACCTCTTCCCTCTTGCCCTGGGTCACCTCCTATTCCTGATGACCTCCTGCCTTTAGACTGTAAGAATCCCAATGCACCATTCCAGATTCGGCACAGTGATCCAGAGAGTGACTTTTACCGGTAAGACAAGGCTTTGCTCTATCTTACTTTTCTCAAAACATCTGCACAACACTGTTCAGCATGTAATAACATTCCTGTGAAGAAACTGAGGATAAGAGTAATTGACATGGCCAAAGTTGCTCAGGTAATTAGTAGGAAGTCTAAGACTTGAACTGATCTTCAAATCCAGAATCTGTATCTTTTATTTATTTTTTTTAAGTTTATTTATTTATTTATTTTGAGAAAGACAGAGCACATGCAGGGGAGGAGCAGAGAGAGAATCCTAGGTAGACTTCATGCAGTCAGTGTACAGAGCCCGACAACGGGGCTCAAATTCAAGAATTTGAGTTTAACCGACTGAGCCACACAGCCTCCCCTGCATCTTTTATTTTTGAGGTAACAAATATTTATTGAGTGCTTATTCTACACCAACCACTTTGCTAGGAGCAAGGAACTACCCCGGTATGTGAAAGAAGCCATGGCCTCACAATCCACAGAGTGTAGTCTTTCTATTTCATTTAAAATGTATATTATGGGGGCGCCTGGGTGGCGCAGTCGGTTAAGCGTCCGACTTCAGCCAGGTCATGATCTCGCAGTCCGGGAGTTCGAGCCCCGCGTCAGGCTCTGGGCTGATGGCTCAGAGCCTGGAGCCTGGTTCCAATTCTGTGTCTCCCTCTCTCTCTGCCCCTCCCCCGTTCATGCTCTGTCTCTCTCTGTCCCAAAAATAAATAAACGTTGAAAAAAAAATTTTTTTAATGTATATTATGGATTTAGCTCAGTGTCTTAAAATTTAGGTTCATGGACTTATTCTCATATTCTCAGAAATCCATTAAGTTTTATGTAAGATGTTTAAATTGTGTACAGTTGACCCTTGAACAACACCAGTTTGAACCGTGCAGGCCCACTTACATGCGGATGTTTTTACAGAACAGTACTGTAGATGTATTTTCTCTTCCTTATGGTTTTCTTAGTAACATTTTCTTTTCTGTAGCTTACTTTATTGTAAGAACATAGTATATAATACATATACAAAATATGTGTTAATTGACTCTATGTTATCACTAAGGCTTCCAGTTAACAGCAGGCTATTAGTCATTGGGGTGCCTGGTTGGCCTAGTCAGAAGAGCATGTGACTCTTGATCTCAGGGTCGTGAGTTTGAACTCTGTGTTGGGTATAGAGATTACTAAAAAGAAGTTAATAAACAAATATAAAAAAAATAGTAAACCATTAATCATTAACTTTTGGGGGAGTCAAAGCTATATGCAGATTCTCTACTTCATGGCGGGGGCGGGGGGGCTGGCACCCCTAACTCCCACATTGTTCATGGATCAACTGTATTTTCATTTTGATAACATCATTTAAGAAATAATATAAAAATGTTCTTGATCCTTGTTATTCAAAACCTGGGCAGAGACTAACAGCATCAACATCACCTGGGAGCTTGTTAGAAGTTCAGAGTCTCAGGGCCTACATAGCCTGCTGAATCAGAATCTTCATTTTAACAAGATCTCCAGAAGATTCGTGTGTATATTTAAGTTTGAGAAGCCCTATTCCAAGTCCTCTGAATGACTGCCTTATAACCTAATGCTACTACTAGGTTTCAGTGTGTAAGTTTGCATTTGGCGCGAAGTAATTACTTTTTGTTTTCATTTTGAAGTTTGTCAGACCAAAGAAAAGTTTAAATAATAGTACAGGAGGGGTGCCTGGGTAGGTCAGTTGGTTAAGCATCCGACTTCGGCTCAGGTCATGATCTCATTGTTTGTGGGTTTGAACCCCACAGCAGACTCTGTGCTGACAGCTCAGAGCCTGGAGCCTGCTTCCGATTTTGTGTCTCCCTCTCCCTCTGCCCCTCCCCCACTCACACTCTGACTGTCTCCCTCTCTCAAATATAAATAAACATGAAAAAAATTTTAAATAGTACAAAAAATGCCCAAGTACTCCTTACCAGGATTTACCAATTGTTAACATTTTGCTACATTTATTTTCTCTCACATATGTATAAGTGTGTATACACATATAAATATATATGTAACATATACACATACACACTTTTTTTGTCAAATATTTTAAAGCTGCACATATCCCAATATTTCACCCCTTAATTCTTAAGCATTCTTTCACCTTTAAATTCTTCACCTTATCCTAAGAATAAGGAAAATTTCCTATGTGATTTCAATACTATTATCACACCAAAGCAAATGAACACTAAGTAAATAATATAAGCCCAGTTTAGATTACTCCAGTTCTCCAAAATACCTTTTGTAGATATATTTTTCCCTAATCCAGAACCTAACAAAGATTCATGCATTGCCTTTGGTTGTTTTTTTTTATTTTTTTTTATTTAAAAAAAATTTTTTTTTCAACGTTTATTTATTTTTGAGACAGAGAGAGACAGAGCATGAACAGGGGAGGGGCAGAGACAGAGGGAGACACAGAATCTGAAACAGGCTGCAGGCTCCGAGCGGTCAGCACAGAGCCCGACGCGGGGCTCGAACTCACGGGCCGTGAGATCATGACCTGAGCCGAAGTCGGACGCTTAACCGACCAAGCCACCCAGGCGCCCCTGCCTTTGGTTGTTTAGTGTCTTTTAAACCAGAATAGCTTCCTCTTTAAAAAAAAAAAACAACAACAATATAAATCTTTTTTAAGAGTTCAGGTCATTTAGAATATAGAATGTCCCACTCACTGGATTTGCTGATTATTACCTCGAGATTAGATTCAGGTTAAATATGTGTTTAGCCAAAAAAAAAAAAAACCAACCCCATAAATAATACTGCATATTATTCATTGCATGTGCTTATTGATGATAATAGTTACTACTATTTTAATTGTCCCAAATTAATGAGAAAAGAACAGAAATAGGCTTAATAAGTAAGGGTTGCAGTTGGGCCAGATGGAGACCAGATGATGTCCTGGGGCACTGTATAATCGAAGGTTCTAAAATCCTAGGAATAGTGAAAACTGTGTCATTACATGCATGGCACAAGAAAACTTGCTCTGTGGTGATCAGTACCCTATTGACATTTTGAAGGCAGTTTAGCTTTAACAAAATTATGTTGTTCATCCTATTAAATTGATGCTGTTACTTATTTTTAACTTAACATTTTTTTTTTAATTTAGAGAGTGAGAGAGAGAGAGAGAGAGAGTAGGGGGGTGGGACAAAGGGAGAGAGAAAGAGATAGAGAATCTCACATAGGCTCCACACTCAGCACAGAGCCTGATGCAGGACTCAATCCCCTGAGACCATGACCTGACCTGAAATCAAGACTCGGATGTTCAACTGACTGAACCACTCAGGTGCCCGATGCTATTATTTAGAATTCTGTAGTTGTGTGTAAAACTTCTAATTTTTTTTTCTTTTTCAAGTTTTTTTTTTTTAATTTTTAAATATTTATTTAGTTTTGAGAGAGAGACAGAGTATGAGCAGAGAGAGGCAGAGAGAGAGGGACACACAAAATCCGAAGTAGGATCAGGCTCCCAGCTGTTAGCCCAGAGCCCAATGTGGGTCTTGAACTCACTAACCGTGAGATCATGACCTGAGCCAAAGTCAGACGCCTAACCGACTAGCCACCCAGGTATCCCTCAAGTTTTTATTTAAATTCCAGTTAGTTAACATACAGGGTAATATTAGTTTCAGGTGTAGGATTTAGTGATTCATCACTTACATACAACACCCCGTGCTCATCACAAGTGCCCTCCTTAATACCCATCACCCATTTAACCCATCCCCCTGCCCACCTCTCCTCCAGCAACCCTCAGTTTGTTCTCCATAGTTAAGAGTCTGTTTTCTGGTTTGCCTCTCTTTTTTTCCCCTATATTCATCTATATGTTTCGTAAATTCCACATATGAGTGAAATCATACGGTATTTGTGACCTCTTTCGCTCAGCATAATACTCTCTAGTACTATTCATGTCATTGCAAACGGCAAGATTTCATTTTTTATGGCTGAGAAATAGTACACTATAGATATGTAATATATATATATTATGTATGTATATAATACATATATATTATGTGTATATATTATAGATTATATATATATATATGTCTTCTTTATCCATTCCTCAGTCAATGGACATTTGGGCTCTTTCCATAATTTGGCTATTGTTGATAATTCTGCTATAAACATCAGGGTGCATGTATCCTTTTAACTCTTCAAATCAGTATTTTTGTATCCTTTGGGTAAATACCTAGTAGTGCAATTGCTAGGTCGTAGGGTAATTCTATTTTTAACTTACTGAGGAACCTCTATACTATCTTCCAAAGCGGGCTGCACCAGTTTGCATTCCCATCAACAGTGTTAAGAGTGTTCCCTTTTCTCCATATCCTCGCCAACATCTCTTGTTTTCTGTGTTGTTAATTTTAGCCGTTCTGACAGGTGTGAGGTGATATCTCATTGTACTTTTGATTTGTATTTCCCTGATGATGACTGACGTTGAGCATCTTTTCATGTGTCTGTTAGCCGTCTGTATGTCTTCTTGGGAAAAATGTCTATTCATGTCCTCTGCCGATTTTTAACTGGATTGTTTGGTTTTTGGGTGTTGAGTTTTATAAGTTCTTTATATAGATTTTGGATGGATACTAACCCTTTATCAGATGTCATTTGCAAATATGCAATATTCTGAAATATTCTCCCATTCTGAAGGTTGCCTTTTAGTTTTGTTGTTTCTTGTTGTTGTACAGCAGCTTTTTATCTTGATGATGTCCCAATAGTTTATTTTTGCTTTTGTTTCTTTGCCTCAGGAGACGTATCTATTAAGAAGTTGCTATGGCCAATGTCAAAGATGTTATACTGCCTGTGTTCTCCTTTAGGATTTTGATGGTTTCCTGTCTCAGTTAGGTCTTTTCATCCATTTTGAATTTATTTTTGTATATGGTGTAAGAAAGTGGTCCAGTTTTCCCAACACCATTTGTTGAAGACACTGTCTTTTTTTCCATTGGATATTCATTCATGTTTTGTCAAAGATTCGTTGACCATCTAGTTGTGGATCCATTTCTGGGTTTTCTGTTCAGTTCCATTGATCTCCGTTTCCATTTTTGTGCCAGTACCATACTGTCTTCATCACTACATCTTTGTAATATAACTTGAAGTCTGGAATTGTGATCCTCTGGCTTGGCTTTGCTTTTCTTTTTGAAGATTGCTTTGGCTATTGAGGGTCTTTTTTAGGATTTTAGAATTATTTTGTTCTAGCTCTGTGAAAAATGCTGGTGGTATTTTGATTGCATTCAATGTGTAGTTTGCTTAGCGTAGTATAGGCATTTTAATAATATTTGTTCTTCCAATCTCAAACTTCTGATTTTAATTGTTAGGAAGAGCTGTAACCATCAGAAGCTTATAACTAGTTTGTTTTATACATACTTAAGAAACTGTTTAACAGAAATAATTTGCATCAGCTATGGGGGTGCTAAAAAAATTATTGTCCTTTGAAATAAGTCCATGCGTTACTCAAATAAAGCAATACTGGTTTAGCTATTTATTAGGTCCTTCTGAGCCTTTAGCTTTTGGCCTAGGGAGCCTGGCCATGGGAAATGATGGTGGAAATAGTAAATGAAAAGTTATTTCGCAGTTGGTTTTATTTTCCAGCTATTATGTGGATTGCAGTAGTTGCTTCTGAGCAGATGATAGTAAAGTGGGTGGATAGCTCCTCAAGCCCCCTTGTACAGCACATGGGGACACATGCCAAGTATGTACCTTATTTTATCCATTTACTTCCTTTGTCAGAGGGAGACAGAAAACAGGAATTTTAAATTTTTCTAAGTAATTAGAAGTTTGCTAGACGTTATTTTTAGGAGACCAGGCAGCTTTTTTAAGTTGTTTTTTTTGTTTTGTTTTGTTTTGTTTTGTTTTCAGATTAAGATCTCTACAGGGGTGCCTGGGTGGCTCAGTGGGTGAAGCATCCGACCCTGGATTTTGACTCATGTCACGATCCTAGAGTCGTGGGATCGAGCCCCGCATTGGGCTCCATGCTAAATGTGTAGGCTGCTTGGTATTCTCTCTTTCTCCCCCTGCCCTTCTCCCTCACTCGTGCTCTCGCTCTCGCTGTCTCGCTCTCTCTCTCAGACAATTACTTAATTTAATTTAATTTAAAAAAGATTTCTACAGCAGTGATTAGGACAAAATGGTGTATTATGAAGAACATATTCTATATGCTGCCAAAGCAAGCACAGTATTATGAAGAACATAGGATCTGAAGTTAGAAGCTCAACCTCTTGATAATACCTGTACAACTTCTGGCAGGTCAGCCCCTCTGAACCTCAATTTCCTCACCTGCCAAATGGGAATAATAGGGACCCTACCCATTTCTTTACACAGGGTAGGATAAAAATGCTTTGGAGACTGTATTTTAAATTGTTTTTATAAAATTGAGTTGCTTTGCCAGTTTCACAAATGGTCTATTTTAGTTGTAGAAGAATCTCCTAATTGGGACTGTGAATTTCTGAAAGTCCATTTATCACCCAGCATATGAGGAAACTATGTTGTGGGGAAATAACTAGAGCACCACTGAGCAGTATCTCAGCTCTAGTGTTAAATTTTATTATCTCCTACAAATGATCAATATCAAGATGGTAAAAGGAAGCTTCCTATTTACCTCACACTCTTTTATATTGTTTGTTATAGACATGTATTGCCTATTAAAGCTTTGTGTACTTGGAGGAGCTCAGAGATGACTGTGAGTTGTTGAGACCTGCGCTGGCCGCAGCAAGATGAAACTGGGCTCTGTAATCTGCATAGAATCCCCTAGAAAGCTGGGCCAGCGGCTTGACCGAAATTATAAAACTCCTAGGGAAACAGGACAGGTGACCCCTGTGCGAGAGCACTGATAACATTGCCATATGTCCCCTTTCAGTGGGAAGGGGGAACCTGTGACGGAACTCAGCTGGCACTCCTGTCGGCAGCTCCTTTACCAGGCAGTGGCCACAATCCTGGCCCACGCAGGCTTTGAGTGTGCTAATGAAAGTGTCCTGGAGACCCTCACTGATGTGGCACACGAGTACTGCCTTAAATTCACCAAGTTGCTGCGCTTCGCTGTGGATCGGGAGGCCCGGCTGGGGCAGACTCCTTTCCCTGACGTTATGGAGCAAGTATTCCATGAAGTGGGCATTGGCAGTGTGCTCTCCCTCCAGAAGTTCTGGCAGCACCGCATCAAGGACTATCACAGTTACATGCTACAGGTGAGGTGACCCCATGAGAAGTGGGTAAAAGTGTGTAATGTAGGGGTGTTAGCAGGATCCCACAACACTCACCCTAGAGAGCAGGGTACAGGGTCTTGGAACAGAGTGGACTTGACATGCTCTCCTCCTGGCCCTGGCTGTGTTCCATCGGCCTCATCACTGACCTGGCCAGAGCCAGGGGCCTTCTTTAGCCAATGAGTGGCTCCATTTATTGATCACACTTCCTCTGGAAGAAATTATACACGGGTATGTAGAGTCTGAGAGAATGTGGTTAGCATGCTTTATTCAACAGATATTTATTGAGTCCTATTTTGAGTCAGGCACTGTGGGATACAACAGTGAACAAGTTCTTTCAGCTTGTATTCTTGAGACGGAAACAAAAACAAGTAAATAAATAATGATCAAAACAATTTCAGCTGGCGTTAAGTGCTGTGAAAAACAGAACCAAACAGAATGAGATGATACTGCCCAAGGGTGGAAGAGGGGGCAGAGATACCATTTTGGGTTAGAACCAGAAATACCTAATCTCTTTAACCTATGTGGCCTTAAGTCATTTGTTCACTGTTTTGTTTTTCCCAAATCTAAAATATGATAAGGACTTTTTAACACCCAACAAAAAAAGTCTTTGCTAAGCGATTCAGATTTCCTACACCATTCATTATCCACCTAGGGTGCATATGTCAACAGTTTTTACAGACAAAAATATAATCTTTTGTCCCCATTCTGATTTGTCTCTAACAAAGCCTCTTTTGCCTTTGTGTAGCTTAATTAATGACACACAAAGTCTCTGCAAATAACTTTTCTTTACATGTCTCTGTCATTTACAAATGCAAACACCCTACACAAATTCCTTCCATGTGCCAACTATGCTCAAAAAAAAAAAAAAGTAAAAAAAAATTTCCTTCCATTGGCAGTGGTTGCTTTATTCATATTCACATGATGTTGTTTTTTCCATGGGATGCCACAAGCTGACTATCCACCTTGCTTTTAACATTCCTTTGAAAAATGACTCTTGCTTGCCAACAGATTAGTAAGCAACTATCTGAGGAGTATGAAAGGATTGTCAATCCTGAGAAGGCCACAGAGGACACTAAACCTGTAAAGATCAAGGAAGAACCTGTAAGTGACATCACCTTCCCCGTCAGTGAGGAGCTGGAGGCTGACCTTACTTCTGGAGACCAGTCACTGCCCATGGGAGTCCTCGGGGCACAGAGTGAGCGCTTCCCATCTAACCTGGAGGTCGAGGCTTCGCCACAGGCTTCAAGTAAGAGAAATCAACCGACTCTGATTCTGGGAGATCTGCCAATCTCAGCACTCTACATTTTGGAATCAAACTCTGGAGATGAGAGGAAAAAAAAGTGTGGGTGGCAGGAGATTGGAAAGTCTAAAAACAAATACAGCCTCATTGATCTAGTGATACCAACATTCTTTTCTTTGTAATCAGTGAAGGGAGGACTAACACAACTGTACAGGCATTATTTAAAATCATTCCAAGTTAGGATATAGATTCAGTATGTGTTATCCTGTTGATTGCCAGAGTTAATTTAGCTGACCCATATGGGTGGGCAGATGCCCCCTTTATCACTTAGTATGCTGTACTGTTTTTTCCTGATGCTTCTACTCATTAGACAACGCCCAGATTAAATAGAGGAATGTTAATTGCTCAAGGCTGTTTGAATAGTTGGGCTTCCTTGCTAGAGTGCTCCCAATAAATTGTAGCTGAAAGGGATTGAAATAGGGCTATCCAGTTAGAGGTGCCTGCTTCTTCTTCCAGACTCTGTGATCACCTTAGGAACCAGGATGAGCAATTCTTAAGTTAGGTAGATTGCAAATTAGTCGAGATACTCAGTGTTGTTGTTTTTTTTTTTTACAAATATAAATGGCCATTTCATCAATGCACAAATCCTAAACAGAATTAGGCCACATCGTTTTAAGTGTTGAGCAGAGAACCTTTCACCATGGAAGAAGTAATAACCACAAACAGTGTTGCTAGAACACAGACAGGAGGGCCGAAGAGAAATTGTTGCAGACTTAGGAACCATGTCTCTTCAGCATTCTGGGAACTGCTGCCAGCATTTTGTAGTGATCATTAAGTTCATAATATGAGAGAGGACCAGGGACTCAAAAGGCAGGAAAATAGGACAGCTTTATAGAAGGAAGGAAAGAAACAATCTGAACAAGAAACCATGATTGTGCCTGCCTTTGGGCCATGAGACAGGGAATCTTTGTACCTGTGTAGTTTTACTTCCCTGGCTTAGGGGAAATGGGAGGGTGGGTGAGGTGGGGTAAAGGAGAGTAGAGGAAGTGGAAAGGAAAATATTCAGAATTGGTAGTTTGTTTTTTAACTTTTATTTTTGAGAGAGAGAGCAAGCTAGAAGGTGATTGGGGAGGGATAGAGAGAGGGAGAGAGAGAATCCTAAGCAGGCTCAATGTGGGGCTCGAACCCACAAATCATGAGATCATGACCTGAGCCAAAATTAAGAGTCAGCCACTTAACTGACTAAGCCACCACCCAGGCACCCCTGGAGCTGGTAGCTTTTTGAACAGAAGATAACAACCATATTCTCCAGCCAGGCAGAATCAGAGTACAAACTGAGCTTAAAGGCTGCCCTGGGTAAAATATTTGTTTTGCTGTGTTCCAGCCTTGGCTTACTACTAGTTGTGTGTTCTTCCATTGCTAGGCACGGAGGTAAATGCTTCCCCTCTTTGGAATCTGGCCCATGTGAAAATGGAGCCTCAAGAGAGTGAAGAAGGCAACGTCTCTGGGCATGGTGTGCTGGGCAGTGATGTCTTCGAGGAGCCCATGTCCGGGATGAGTGAAGCTGGAATCCCCCAGAGCCCCGATGACTCAGACAGCAGCTATGGTTCCCACTCCACTGATAGCCTCATGGGGTCCTCCCCTGTTTTCAACCAGCGTTGCAAGAAGAGGATGAGGAAAATATAAAAGGAAAAGGGGAGATGTTCTGTCCAGATCCATAAGACCCAACAGAAAACCTTGATGTATTCAAATATTTCCATAAAAGGTGATTTGACTCTTACTCTCAACCACAGAGCCATTTCTGGATTTCAGTGGAGATGGATTTAACGAAACAAGTTTGCATTTTACTTTTACATCCAGTTTTGTAGTTTTCCACAACGAAGCCATCTTTTACAGACCGTTCATGACACTGGGATGATAATCAGGAGACAGAGCACTGTCCCTGTCATCCTTACCATTGCACAGCTAAGAAGTACATACTGGTTGGCCCTGTACTGCACGGATATTGTACAGATTGAGATTGTTATCAGACCTCCAAGCTGTGCTTGCAAAGACTCACAAGTAAATATATGCTGATATATCAGTTTTTTCACTGAACTTGCTTCACTTTGGGGTCGAATCAGTGGGAACCCGGTACTAAAACCTAAGAGAAAATAGCTAATCCCCTTTTTAGTGGTCTTTTTTGAACAGTTTTTGCTGCCCATGAGGTCTCCTGAACCCAGGGGTGTGTGGTGCTTCTTTGGCAGCCGTGTTTCATCCACATTGCTTTTTTTTTTTCCTTTAGAGAAAAAAAAATTTTTTTAACATTTATTTATTATTGAGAGACAGAGAAAGATAGAGCATGAGTATGGAAGGGGCAGAGAGAGGGGGAGAGACAGAATCCAAAGCAGGCTCCAGGCTCCAAGCTGTCAGCACAGAGCCCAACACAGGGCTCGAACTCACAAACCACAAGATCATGACCCAACCCAAAGCCAGATGCTCAACCGACTGAGCCACCCAGGTACCCCTCCTTTTTCCTTTTAATCTCTGCCCCCAAAATGGGGCTCGAACTCACGACCCCAAGATCACGGGTCGTATGCTCTACCAAAAGCAGGCACCCTTCTCCTTCTTTAGACTTACTCCATCTACCTCATCCTTTTTTTGTCATTTTCTCATTTCCATGCAGCTTTTAAAAATATTTCACCATGTACTTTTCAGTTGTTTTCTTATCTTTATTGGGAATGAAGTAAACATGACCTGTCCAAGGACAGACTTGCACGGATTCCATTTGTTGCATCTACTTGGCCATCAGAGGACAGCAGTCCTTCCTTTGCCAGAATTCCACATCTGCATTGTGTTGCTACTGGACGTGCAGCCTCCAAAATAACAATAGTATACACATCTTTCTCCTTTACATCATGTCCTCAACTTTACATTATTACTCACCCATCACAGTATTGCCCTGCCTGGCATCTAAAAGTCTCAGTATTTATTAAGTGAATGATTAGCACTGGAATAATTAGGAGTAATTGGCAAATGTGTGGTTTTTGCCTTGGTAATGGGTGCTGGTATGTTAAATCCTGCTGAAATTTGTTTTTTGGGTACAGTCTTTTGAAATTTACCACATTCTTTTAATAGGGACCAAAACCAAGGCATGGCTTTAATTAATACATTATTGAATGCCTTAAATGTCCCAGGTGCTGAGAATAAAAATGAATGCAACAGCAGTAAAATGAGGTTATAAACTATCAGGTAACTTACAAATTTGCTAACTGTACAACCCTTAGCATGCTTATCTAAACTCCTATTCCAGACTCAGTTACCTTCACTTTCCCCTATTTATGAAAGTAGACATCAAGCAGTTTCCATAAAGTAGCCATCTAGTATTTAATCCATTCAATTAGCAGGCATTTATTGAGCAACTGTTCTGTACTGGTTCCTGTGCAAGAGATACAGAGGTAAGACTGTGTCCCTGTCCTTATGGAGCTTTCAGACAAGTTATTTTTTAAAGAAGTATTCAAAGGCACTAAGCAGAAAAACCAAATACATTCAGTTTGCTTTGTAAATGTTTTCCTCTTGAACAGGTTCAAAAAAATTTTTTAACGTTTTATTTTTTACATTTATCATGCCACGAATTCATAGGGAATGGGCTCCAGCAGCTCATGCTTCTTTCCATTGGTTCAAAGTGTACTTCTCTGGGTGGGGCAGGCTGGCACTTCAGCTGAATCCAAATACCTTTTTCTTTGGCTTCCTTCTTTTCCTGATCATTTTCCTTCGCACGTTTCAGGAAGCTCTCTGAAGAATTAATATGTACAATCCCCTTTCGCAAGAACCTTGCCCTTGTTTACAACAATGGCAGCAGCATACTGGGCAACACTGTAGACTTTTCCAGTTTTGCCATGCTAAAATTTGTGGGGCGTTCCTTTTTGAATAGTGCCTATTCCCCTGAGGTCCACAATATCACCTTTCTCATAGATTTGCATGTTATGTGGCGAAAGAACAACTCCATGCTTTCTAAAAGGCCTAGAGAACATATGGCAGGTACCACTCCTCTTTCCCTTTGTGTTGGTCATTTTGAAAATTACTGGAAGATGGCAGTTCTGCTATGTTCAAATTATAGACCTATATAGGTCTATAATCTATAGGTATAGAATACTGAAATTGATACTTAATGGCAAAATAAAATATTTTTACTTTTAGAACGTTTAAATTGGAGAATAAGCACCAGATGGTCAAGGTTAGGGTACTCTTAATAAAGCAGGTCATTTTGTGGATACCTGAGATTTTCCTGGCCTAGAACTGTCACAGGCTATTTGAGTTAGAGCAGTGGTTCTCAACCTTAAATGCATGGGAATCCCCTGGAGGACTTATTAAAACAGATTTCTGGGTCCCACCCCCACAGTTTCTGATTGAGGTCTTGAGTGTTGTATTTCTAACAATTTCCCAGGTAATGCTGATGCTTCTGGTCCACTGGCCACACTTGAGAACCACTGAATCAGAATGCAGATTAGGCAGGGATAAAATTCCTTAAAGGAAATGCACTATGTTTTATATTAATAGGAAGAATGTGCAAGCAGGGCAAACCTTACCATGGCTACTATGTATGGAATGTGCACCTGACCCAAATCCATGGCCTTTGATGAAATCACCAAGGATACTTTAAGTTTAAAGTACAATACAGGGGCACCTGGGTGGCTCAGCTGGTTAAGAGTCCTACTCTTGATCTCAGTTCAGGTCTTAATCTCTGGGTTGGGAGTTCAAGCCTCGCACTGGGCTCCGTGCTGTGCACTAAACCTACTTTAAAAAATATATAAATTTTAAAAATAAAGTACAATACAAACAGCCTGGCTCTGTACCTGGTTACTAGGTATGTATACACAGGAGGCTTTAGTAAACATCCCTCTTTACTGAGACCGGTTTGCACAGGTGGCTTTAAACCTCTGTGTTGAACAAAAGTGAACCTATGTGCAATTATATAATTTTCTTATTTGAAATTATGATAGGGTTACAACAAAATTAAAATTAAAAACTCTTTATCCAAGTCACCATCAAAAGCAAGATTCTTACTCATTAATCTTATGTTTTGCTCAATTTCTTCAACGAACTGGTATCCTAAAATGTTAGCTACCCCACGTGAGACACATTTCATACCCAACATTGATTGGTTGCCAAGGAGACTTCCACTGCCACTGTGGGCAAGCTCATGTTTTCTCTCTCCCTTTCTGCTAAAAGGAGGGGAACTCATGGTGTAGGATCAAGGGCAAGATACAGGGAAAGTAAAGTATAGATCCAGCCTAATAGAGATTTGAAGTGAATTTTAGGTTCTGTTTCATCCATCAGCAGCAAAAGTACGTAAGTTCAAACAATAAAACTGGAAGCTTTAGGCTTGAAGGGGTATCAGCATCCGAGGACAGTCCATATCCTTCCTTGCATAAATCCAAGGAAAAGGCCAAGGGGAATTGGCATCTACCTGCCAGGTCCAAGAGTCTCCTAACCCTGGCTTCATCTGAGTCAAATTTCCCTATTAGAGAAACTCTGCTACTCTGAACAAAATTGTCCTTTATGGTAGCCCCCAATCAAAGGTAAGAATAGTTCCTTCACAGAGTTCCAAACGTTTGAACTTCTAGAAACTATTTGTTGTTTCTCTTCCAGTATTGTGCCATTGATTCTTGCATAAAATTCTGGAATGCTGGCTCTTCACGGCTTTCCTCCGTAACTGCAAGGAAAAAAGGTCAATTCTTTTTAGCTTTCCCATTATATAGGTGGTTAGAGCTGCTGTCACCAGTCCATCAGAAATAGTACTGTTTCTAATAAACTAAGTGTTCACTAATCCCAGTAAGGAAATACCTCCCAGAAGCATGCTCTATTTATCATGTTGCCCAAATGCACAATTTCTCTCATCTGTAAATGAGAATACCTCATTCATAAAGTAACTAGAATGAGGTCCCATTCCTAGGTATTTTTAACCAAGAGAAATATATATAGCAGCTTTATTAATAACTAAAATCTGGAAATAACCCAAAAGTCAATCAGCTAATGAATGAACAAATTGTGGTATGGCCACATAATAGAACATTATTCAGCAATAAAAGAACGTATTTCTGATACATGGATGGATCCCAAAAGCATTACACTGACTGAAAAAAGTCAAATGCAGCAAGCTATTAAATACTATGATTCCAATTATACAACACTCTGGAAAAAGCAAAATTATAGGAACAGAAATCAGATTACTGATTGCCAAAAACCAAGTGTTCAGAAAGAGGACTGAATAAGGAATAAGGAACAAACGAGCATAAGGAACTTTTGGGGGTGATGGAAGTGTTCTGTATCTTGATTATGATGCCTGTTACAAGTGCACATATATTTGTTAGAACTCATCAAACCAGACACGTAAAAAGGTTGGACTTTATGGTTTGTAAATTACACCTCAATAAATCTGAGTCAGTGAGGTACACTGGATGGTAAAGAGAGGTTTGCTCTTGGTCACTGATTTGACCTCAAAGAGTTGTTTCAAGAAATCGATTCTGTTCACAGTCCCTAAATCTATGCCAGGTGGAGAGCCCTTTTGGGTTTCCAGGGCCATTCTATCCTCTGGTACAGTCCCTTCTAACTGGTTTCAGTCTGCCGAGGCCTCTCCTTATGTACTCTTTGTTTCCCCCGCCCCCGCCCCCCCCCCCGGTAGTCTTTTATTTTTTTAAGTTTATTTAAGAGAAAGGGGAGAGTGCACACACATGCACATGAGTGGGGGAGGGGCAGAAAGGGAGAGAGAGAATCTCAAGCAGGCCCCGTGCTGTCAAGATAGAGCCTGAAGTAGGGCTCGATCTCGCAAACTGTGAGATCATGACCTGAGCCAAAATCATGAAGAGTCAGACCCTTAACTGACTGAGCCACCCAGGTGCCCCTTCCTCTCATGTATTCTTAAAACAATAACTGCAACCAAACAAAAATCCTGGATTCCTCAGAGTTACGACCTAAAGATGAGAAGACCTGAGATTAATAAATAAAAAAGCCTGTAATGAGTTCAATATTAACTACTCAGTAGAAAGGCCAGGAACTCTCAATATGCTGAACTCTTGCCTGCTGCTGTATCCAGTGCCATCTCTTCTCTCCCCTGTCACTGGCTGCATACATAAGGTGTCTCTCAATAACAAAAAGCTCCTGAACAAACAATGTGAGGATAAGCAGCTGTTCTCTTTTCATGGGCCACCTCTCACCTCTGTGGTCAATATCATCAGTATCACTGTCTGCTTCCTCATCCTCTTCATCCAAAGTTCCCCGAGTCAGGATCAAGTCAGAAGGGTCGAGTGCAGGAGATAAGCTGTCTACAGAGAAAACACCTGTGAGTACCATGTAATGAACCTATGCCTCCTCAAAAAGGTGATTTTCAATCCATGAGTAAGTAGGATTATAAACTGGCAGGATGAAAGTAGTCACAATAAATATAAATGCAGAATCTTACCTCTTCTAAATGTATTGTTAATACCACTTAACATTTCTACAGTGGTTTAGTTCACACAATGTTTCATGAATCTAAAAGGTGCTGTTTTTAAGCTTAAGAAAAATTCCTGGTAGTCACATCATTCCTTTTTACTAGCTTCCAGCTTAGAAGAGGCTATAGTTTTTCCTACAAAGACTAAAGACATTTAAGCAGATGCCATGTGCTGGAGAGTCAGGGTAAAAGTGTACAGCACTAAGGAAGTTTCCTGGTGGAAATTTAAGTTCAGAGGGTCTGAAGAGATCAAGAGGGTGAAATGACACAGTAAAGGAGCCAGGATATGATTCAAGAAAAAGAGGGAGGGAGGAAAACGGAAAATCGAATCTATTTTTAGAGCCAAATTCCCTACTCAGGGAAACTGAATAAGGACTAAGTGCCAATCATCAGGAAAACGTCTAATCAAGTAATTCCTGTGAGGGGATTCAGCCTGAGAGAGTTGGGCTCTATGAGAACCTAAAACCATGCTAAGTATCATAGAGCTATGGGAGGACATGACCACTCTCTTCAGGAGCTTGGTCTCAGAGAAATCAGCTGGGGAATAAAGGTGGCCATCAGCAGCAACATCAAGGGACACAAATTTCAACAGGCCTGTGGCCCTGAAAAAGGATGACAACGTGGCATGCTAACAGTCCATGCTTCATTCTGTGTCCAACTATACTTGGGATTTTCCCAAATAACTTCTTGAAAGTCCCCAACCTTTAACAGGTTATCAGCATATGGCAGCAGATTTAATTCACATTTGCTGATTCACATATTCATGAGCGATTCCAAAGGAGCACAGCACACAAATTTACGTTGCTAAGGTGTGCAACAAGGATGGCCAGGCAAGTTCACTGAAATGGTAAACCTAGGCAGTTTCCTGGTAAACCCAGCATTTCCTCCTCCAAGTGGCTTTGTTCTCTACTAAAGATACAGCAATAGCTTTCATCAACAGAACTTCAATCTTTTAAAGGCCAGTCCAGTCCATACCACTCAAAAGTGTGGTTGGGTGGGGGTGCATATATTCTAAATATGAGCACCAACCTAGAAACCCCTAAGAATCAATAACAACATTAATTCAAAAAATAAAAAATTCAATAAAGTAGCAGCATAAAAAGACTAACATATGGAAATTAGAAGCCTTCATATACACAAACATAACCAGTTAGAAGATATGGTTCAGAAAATCCCATTTTCAACACTAACAAAGAAGATAAAATTCTTAGAAAATTTTAACAAGAACTATGCAAAAACCACATGAGGAAAACACTCCTGAAAAATCAAGTTACATTTGACAAATATAAACACACTCCTTGCTCTTGGACAGGAAGACTCAACGTGACAGTTGTCAGTTTGCCCTATATTAAAGAACATAATGCAATGTCAATAAAAACACCAAAGAGCTGTTTTAGCAAGCTAAATAAGTTGACGCTAAAGTTCATACAGAAAAACAAACAGACAGGAAGAGCCAGGGAAACACTACAAAAGAAAAATATGAAAAGGGACTAGCCCTGTCAGACATTAAAACATTTTATACAGGCTCTACGTAATTATAACAGTGTGGTAAAGACACAGACAATCCAGAAGAATAAAACAGAAGTCCAGAAATATACCCAAGTACACATGGAACTTTAGTATACGATACAGGTGGCATCTCAGATTGCTGAGGCAAAGGTAGTCTTTTTAAGAAACAGTGTGGGGGCGCCTGGGTGGCTCAGTCGGTAAAGCGTCCGACTTCGGCTCAGGTCATGATCTCGCAGTCCATGGGTTCGCGCCCCGCGTCGGGCTCTGTGCTGACAGCTCAGAGCCTGGAGCCTGTTTCAGATTCTGTGTCTCCCTCTTTCTCTGACCCTCCCCTGTTCATGCTCTCTCTCTGTCTCAAAAATAAATGTTAAAAAAAAAAATTTTTTTTTTAAAAAAGAAACTGTGGTACAATTGTTTATGAAAAAGGTAATACAGAGCTATACTTCACACTATATCCAGGAATAAACTAAATGGATCAGGGATCTAAATGTAGACACTGAGGGGCACCTGAGTGGGTAAGTCGATTAAGCGTCCGACTTCGGCTCAGGTCGTGATCTCACAACTAGGGAGTTCAAGCCCTGCGTTGGGCTCTGTGTTGACAGCTCAGAGCCTGGAGCCTGCTCTGGATTCTGTGTCTCCATCTCTCTCTGCCCTTTCCCTGCTCACTCGCTCTCTCTCTCTCTCTCAAAAATAAACATTAAAAAAATTTTTGTAAACATAGACAGTGAAACCATACAAGAACTACAATAAAACATAAGTAAATTCCTCTTTAACACAGTATGGGTAAGGGATTCACAATTACGACACAAAATCCAGATGCAGTAAAAGAGAAAGCAAGTAAATTTGACTATATCAAAACAAAATAAAAACTTTCGCCTGGCAAAATAACACCATGAACAAAGTCAAAAAACAACTGATAACCGGGCGCCTGGGTAGCTCAGTCTGTTGAGCGACCCACTTCGGCTCAGGTCATGATCTTGCGGTTTGTGAGTTCGAGCCCCGTGTCGGGCTCTGTGCTGACAGCTTAGAGTCTGGAGTCTGCTTCGGATTTTGTATCTCCTCTCTCTGCCCCTTCCCCGCTCATGCTCTGTCTCTCTCTGTCTCAGAAATAAATAAACATTTAAAAAAATTTAAAAAAAAAAACAACTGATAAGGAGCACCTGGGTGGCTCAGTCAGTTGAGCATCTGACTTCAGCTCAGGCCATGATCTCACTGTTCGTGAGTTCAAACACCACATCGGGCTCACTGCTCTCAGCCAGAGCCTACTTTAGATCCTCTGTCCCTCTCTCTCTGTGCCCCTGCCCATCTCCCTCGCACTCGCTCTCTCTCTGTCAAAAATAAATAAACATTTTAAAAAAACCTGACAACTAGGAAGAAAATACTTCCAACTTGCATCACAGAAAAATGGATATTACCCCTATTACATTAATGGGTATTAAAACTAGTGAGTAAACATGTGAAAATTAAAAGGATATTCATATGGTCTCAAAGCATCACCCAACAAAATACTTATCATAAAGGGAAAAATAACTTTATAATGAAAAAAATCTGGCAGACACCAACTTAAGCCAAGTAATCAAAATTAACATCACCAGTAATGGGACAAATCTACACTGTGTGCCTCCAGATGTTCTGCGTGGAAAAAACTCAACTTCACTTGTGTAAAGTTCTGCCACCTGAATTGAATACTGAGGGAACATCAGACAAACCCAAACTGAGCATCATTCTATAAAACATCTGTCCCATACATTTCAGAATTGTCACTGCCACGAAATACAAGAAATGGCTACAGAACTATTCCAAATTAAAGGAGAACAAGAGACTGGACAACTAAATGCAATGCAGATCCAGGATTTTCTCCTGCTACACAGGGCAAACAGCTACCTCTAAATGAGGACTACACGTTAGACAACAGTATCAGTGTTAATTTCCTAATTTTTAGTTAACTATAATGGAGTTCTATAAAATAATATTATTGTTAGGAAATATATGTTAAAGTATTCAAGAACAATATTCAAGAGTAAATCCGTAACTTATTCTTAAATGAGTCCAAAAAGGGGGAATATATATATAATGTATAAACATTTTGTTTACAAATACACTTATATGCTTATATGAAATATAACTGCATACCTATTGAGAAAGAAAGAATAAAGTAAATGTGGTAGAACATAAACATTTTTGGAATCTGGTTGAATGGCATATAGCAATTCCTATGCTAACCACACAATTTTTCTGTTAATCTGAAATCAGGCCAAAATAAACAGAAAAGGAAAAAAAAAAAGAGGGGGGTAGAGGGTGAAAAGTATTTAAGAAAATAGAGAAGATATCAAGTATCTTGCCAAAGTAAAGCAAAAACTACCTTAAGAGGAAGAATTCAAAGTCGTATAGTTATATATACAACTTTCAGGAGTTTATCTTTCCAAACCATTTTATGTATATATATACACACAAAGTAAATGTGACAGATCAATTGATCTATCTAAAACACCACATTATGTTCATCCTTTTCTCTTTATCTCTCTTAAATGTGAGTATCTTCCTGCTCAGTGGAAATAAGCACATTCTGCTTTTAGTTCCTAACACCAAGAGACCCCCCCATTACCAGTGGCAGTCCCTGTGTCCAAGGCTACGGAGCCCATATCTTGCCGAAGGCGTTCCAGTTGTTCTTTCTGTTGCTGGCTCTGTGCACTGGCCTGTACATACAGAGAAAAATATCCTCATATTAAAAAAGGAGCCCCCGAGTTAGATGCCAGACTTCTAACAGGAGACAATTAAGTATACAAATACTAAAGACTATTTAGACATTGAGGCAGGTAAGAGATGGCTGATACGGGGACAGAAACACTAAATACCATGGGCCCAGATTAGCACAAATTCAGACTGAAGGGCTCTGCAGACTGATTTAGAGGTTTCAGAAATAGGACACAAAAACACATCAAAAGAACCCTCAAGCAGACACAGCAGTGATAAGGGGCCCTGTGCAGCCAAAGGGGGCAGGCCAAGTAATTATTTGGAATCAACACTGTGAACCACCTCTTTTGTCTTAAAATTCTATAACCAGCCTTTAAATGAGCCTTGGAGAAGTGAAGTAGGGCATAAGAAGTGCTTAGCAAATGTAACAGAAAAATCAGATTTTTAAAAATTCAAATAAAGAGAAGGAAAATAATTAAGGGGCACTTCTGCATCCAGACAGCACACATACACATTTACTAATTTAAAATAACAAATACCTAAAACATACCCTGATAGCCAAAACAAAAGCATTTATGGCAGAATTATTAGTACATGGTTTGAAGTTATTTTTTTTAGTGGCCCAAAATATACACTAACCCTCCTCTCTTACCAGTGATTTCTTCAGACGTTCATATTCAGGACGATATTCCCTGGAAAGAGAAAACGCTTTCTTAATTCTTTTGCTTATTAATCTGTCCTATCTCTCCTCTATCTTCCTAGGTCTCTGACAATAACAGAAGATCTGACCTCACTGAACATTAGATGTAACAAGTCTCAGTCACTTAGATTCTAACCCTTTGGAATTAAAGTCAAGGTGCTTGTCTCCACCCTGTAACCAGCAAAGATACAAAAGACTGACTGCAGGGCTGGAAAGATGAACTCTGGCATCCATGACTCAGGAGCTCATCTTTTTTTTTTTAAGTTTTTTTTTTTTTTTTTTCAGTAATCGCTACATCTGACATGGGGCTTAAACTCACAAGCCCGAGATCAAGAGTCAGATGCCTACAGACTGAGCCAGCCTTGTGCCCCAAGCTCATGCCTCATTTGGGTAAACATTTGAAATGAATAAAAGAAGGAAGGCCTATTATAGGGCTCAGGTAGCCCAATATATAATTATGTGGCTAATCTGGGCAACAACAGGATACAGAAAAGACTTCATCCTGAGGCTTTGATAACACACAAAAAGACCCCTTGTCTGATGAATCAAAATCAAAATAATGTATATAAGAACCACCATGTGGTTGTTAGAATCTTGCTAAGTATGAAGCCAAGAGGAACATACTAGTAAGCAGCCAATGATCATGCCAGGAGCCCAAGGAAAGGTGCTCTGATGACACTTTCCTTTAGGTAGACAGAATTCCAGTATTTACCACAATAGTAGTAACAACCATTTATCATGAAGTATGCTTGCTACGTGTCAGCAAGTGTGCTAGGTGCTTCAGATGTATTTTCACAAATAATCCTCACAACAACCTTAACAGTAAGTGCTATTATCCCTGATCTACAAATGATGAAAACTTGCTAAGGCTACTCATTTATTAAGTGGGGGAAACAGAAATCCAACCCATGCCTGTATGACTCCAAAGTCTATGTTCGTAATTCTTTTTTTAAGTAAGCTCTACGCCCAGAGGGGGGCTTGAACTCATGACCCTGAGATCAAGAGTCACATGCTCTGAGCCAGCCAGGTGCCCCTCCAAAGTCTACGTTCTTAATCCAGGGTCAGCCAATGTGGCAAATAGGCCAAATCAAGCCCACTGCGTATTTTTGTAAATAAAGCTTTATTGGAACACAACCATACCCATTTGTTTACAAACTGTCTGTGGACACCTTTGCCCTACAGTGACAGCTGAGCAGTTGCAACAAAGATTGTATGGCCCACAAAGCCTAAAATATTTACTATCTGGCTTTTTACAAAAAGGTCTGATGATTCTTGCTCTTCATCTTTCAATATAGTGAAGGTCTTATACTCCTATTTTTAAAAAAGTTAATGGAACTTGTTATCCCTAAGTGTACACATACAGATCCAGTACACGTAACACATGGTAAATAGAATACTTACACTATGAAAACCAAAATGCTTTGCCCGGTAAAACTGCTGTTGTATCAGATTGTGTGTTGCTAAGAATGTCATCTACAGGATTTTCCTTTATCCTCACCTTTCATACTCTTCTGCAGCACTGGTGACTTGCATGAAGAGTTCATCTAAGCCTGTACCCAGAACAGCAGACACACCCACCACCTGCCAAAAGCATCATTAATGCCACTGAGGAAATAAGGGTATATTTAAAAAAACATTTTTTATGTTTATTTTATTTTTGAGAGACAGAGACAGACAGACAGACGGACATCACAAGTGGGGGAGGGGCAGAGAGAGAGAGGGAGACACAGGATCCGAAGCAGGCTCCAGGCTCTGACCTGTCAGCACAGAGCCTGACGCAGAGCTCGAACTCACAGACTGCGAGATCATGATCTGAGCTGAAGTCAGCACTCAACCAACGGAGCCACCCAGGCACCCCACAAGTGTACATTTTTAAATGGTATACATTACTTTGTTCGAACGTCATAAAATCTTCACAAAAGTTTAGATACTTCAAGATATCTCTTACAAAGAGTAAAGCTAAAACAAAGCAAAACAGCATGCATACTCAAAAACCATGGAAATAAGTCTATGAAAAAGAGAGGACTGGAAAAGAAAGAGAATTAGCAGGAACAGTAGGAAGACTTCTCCACTATTCCCTGTCAATTTCAACCACTGTTCTCTACAAAAATTAGTATCTCATGTTAATTATCTGATGTTAATTATGTCTTTGTTGGACAATTACCATACTGCTTGCCACACCTACCCCTCTTTTGCTTATATAAATCTTAACCTTCCTTCAAAGCACACCTCTAATGCTATATCCTCCAAAATCCCTCATTTCAAGAGTGATGTGCCCCTCACCAGCATCAGGCCCAACCTCTAATCTTTTGTAACGTCCTTACCACAATATATCATGTTTCAATTATGTGTGTAGCCTTCTCTTCAAACTAGACCATAAACTCTGAAGGCAGGGTCTTTACCTCACTTATCTTTTTTCCTCTTTTTTTAAAAGTAATCTCTATAATCAACATGGGGCTGAAACTCATGATCCCAAAATTAAGAATCATATGCCCTACCAATTGAACCAGCCAGGCTTATTTATCTTTCAAACCACCAGTTTTCAATAAGTAATGCTTTAAATGCTTTTTTTATGAAGGTAATGAACTTTTCTAAGATATGTTCAAAGCCAGCCCTATGGGTTAAGAGGTTGTCTGAAGGGACTGTCAGTATAACCAGAAGAGAAAGTTTACCCTAAGTGAGCTGTAGAACTCATCTAACACCAGGCTCATTGAACGAGTGAGGTTACTGACGTATGTAGTCTCTTGATTCAGGGCATCTTGGAAAGCCTCAAAATCTTGCATCCATTCCACTGCAAAGCTGTGATCGATGATGTCAGTCTGTACCAGAAAGAAGTCAACTATCAGCAACCAGAGATGAGTTCAGACATCAAACAATGCTAAAAAAATTTTAATTAAGTGATAATAACAAAGAACAATTATTCATATAGTTCCTTTCTGTTTCCCCCATTTCCTTCTCCACTACAACAAATCACAAAGAGCCAAGACTGTTGTAAATAATTAAATGAAGATAGGCGTTCTCTTGATGGACGCAGACCCTCCACTATCCACAGCCAAGTGACCATGGCCACAGTGGATGCCAGCACATTCTAAGCTCTGAAGTGATACGGTCTTTTGAATACTAGTCATCAACCCTACAACAGGGAAGTTTAGTATCTGTTTTAATTGCTACTTCCACCCCCACGTGCACAGTCACAATTCTGAGGGATAACACACACTATGCTTGAGGGGCTACTCTATCTGGCTTAAAACTACTTTGATGAGAGTCAGTGATACATATTCATATATTTATATAATCTGACTGAATCGTCTTCCTAGAAGTGCTCATGACTTTGTTTCCGCTAAGTCTGAATCTGTTCTCCAGCATGTGAAAATCCTTCTCACCTACCCAAACCTTCCATTAACACAAGGTTCTGATGAAAAAGAAATACTGAATCACAAAAGGAAGGATCCACTTACTTTATTCATAACCACAATGAAAGGCAGCTTGGTTTTGTACAAGATGCTGAAAATCAAACATCAAGACATTAGTAAAAGCACTTAAGCTCTTGCTTGCCTTGTGTCACTCTGTTGGAATGGAGTAAAGAGAAGGGGGATGGGTTCAGACTCTACATACAGGTATCCACTCTTGCACAGCACTCACATTCTCCTCTCCCAAGAGGAAAAACCATCACCACCATCAAGCAAACACCACACACACTTTCTTGGAGTAATAATGCTTTAATACTGATTTTGGTTTTTGTGTATGTTTTTTGCCTGGTTGTTTGTTTTTACCAAATAATTGTCTTTTAAACAATAAATATGCAAACAAAAAGTACTGTCATCCGATTTCTATTTCGATTAGGATTTCTTGTGTCTAACTAGAAGGGACATCCCTAGTCACATTAGGAGGCATGAATACTGGCAGTGGCTTCTGTATACTCCCAAAATCAAACTCTCTCAGATTTAATAATGGTTGGCCTTGCTCCTATGTCTAATGCATTCACATACTCGAGTGAGGCATGTCCTTCTGCCTCTAATGACACCATTCCTGGAGCAAACTTGTGCTTTTTGGAATTATAGATGAATCTCTTTGTTCATGATCCCTCATATTATAATTTAACTCTACCTGTCATAACACAGAAAAGGAGCACTTACACCAGGGAACTCTATTCTATTTAGACTTCTTTCATTCAATTGGGAGCAACTACCAGAAACTCCACCTATTTCTGTAACAAGCAAGGGAGGAAGATAAGTTGCCCGTAGAGAATGCCAACACATGTGCCTCTTTTCCCTTCTAACCCCTCCCCAACTCATAACCACTAAACTGAGGGGCAAATTTGGATGAGCACAAATCCAGGTTGGTAAGCACTCAGGACTCAAATACAAAAAAAAAAAAAAAAAAAAAAAAAAAAAAAAAGAGAGAGAGAGAAGGCTTCATACCTTGCTGTAATACCATGCCCACCAATAATCAATTACCTGCAGGCATAGAGCATATTGGACATGAAGGTTACTGGGTTGGTACTTCTTGATGTGTCCATGACATAAATGACAACTGTTGGAAATGAAGATGCCTAAAGCCACAAAATAACCACAGCCTTAGTCAAAGGGCTCCTAACCTATCCCCAAACTCCCCCCAACCTTCCTTAGCAAGGGAAAGTCATTTGAAGCAGGGTGTACAGAGCTTCCATGACTCCCTCCCACATTAAGGTCCCAGGCAATAAAGAGATGCTTAACCAGTCTAGTTCTCTAGTTACTCTAAGTAACAAGTCCTAGAATACTCACCAGGGCCTCAGTGATGATTGTCCCAGAAGCTGACCACGTGAACACCTCAATCTGTCCAGGTGTGTCAATCAAGACATATCTGTGCCAAGAAAGACCATTAAAGGGGGGCACCTGGGTGGCTCAGTCAGTTAGGCATCCAACTCTGGATTTTGGCTCAAGTCATAATCTCACCATTGATGAGATCAAGCCCTGTGTCAGGGCCTGCTCTGACAGTGCAGGGTCTGCTTGGGAGTCTCTCCCACTCTCTCTACACCTACCCCTGCTCGCTCTCTCTCTCTCTTAATAAACATTTGAAGTAAATAAATAAGTTAAAAAAAAAAAAAAGACCATTAAAGAAGTATTACACTTGTGCAATGCTGAAAGAGATTCCATCACACAAGACACTGAACATCTGATCATCCAAGACTGGAATAACCTCTTCACACTATCAAGTGTAACTTCCTCCCATTGCCCTTAAAATGCATACTACATTCCCCCAGGCTTTGCTCAATGTCCAGTATTCACGCTACCAGGCAGCAGGAGCAGCGGTCCTCAAATTGCGGCAAATGATCACAGAGGAAACTGTGATAGTTTTAGAAACACACTGCATTAAAAGAAGAGAGAAGCAGGGGCGTCTGGGTGGCTCAGTTGGATAAGCATCTGACTCCTGATTTCGGCTCAGGTCATGATTTCACAGGCTCATGATTTTGAGCCCCGTGTCAGGCTCCACACCGACAGCTCGGAGCCTGCTTGGGATTCTCCCTCTCCCTCTGCTACTCCACCGCTCTCTCTCTCTCACGCGTATGCTCTCTCTCAAACTAAATAAATAAACCTTTTAAAAAAATGAGAGATAAGCAAAACCAGAAGGGAAATATCCTGGGAAACCATCTGGTTTCTTGGGGTAGCCATGGGGTAAAGGTGGAGGGGAAGGAGAAATAGAGGGATAAGGAAGTGACAGCTAAAGAATAGAGTGTTTCTTCTTGAGGTGATAGAAATATTCTAAAATTGACTGTAGTTATGGTTGCATAATTCTGTTAAAGCCACTGAAATGAACACTTTACATGGTATATGAATTACATATCTAAATAAAGCTATTTTTAAAAATGAGCAAAGAATTTTCAATAGACATTTCTCCAAATATACACCAATGGCTAAAATGTATATAAAATGATGTTCAACATCACTAATCATTGAGGAAATACAAACCAAATGTGATACCACAATCACATGCCACTTCACGCCCACTGACATGGCTATAACAAAAACAAGTACAGCAACAAGAATTGGCAAGGACGTGGACAAGGAACCGTCACACAGTGCTGGTGAGAACGGAAAATGGTGCAGCCACCAGGAGCTGGGGGTGGGAAGGGGGAACAACAGGAACTGCTACTGAGTATGGAATTTCTTTTGAGGATGAAGAAAAAGGTCTGGAATTAGATAGTGGTGATCAATGCATAACATTACGAATACACTGAAAACCACCACATTGTATACTTTAAAATTAGAGTGCACTTTGTGTATTTGTATCTCAATAAAGCCATTATTTTTTACCTCTAGTACGATCCCATTTCTGTAAAAACACCTTATCCATCCATCCTTCTATGTATATATGCATGGAAACATGTGGAATGATAGTCACTGATAGCAATGACAACATATATAATATTATGTAATAATGTTTTATATGTATCATACACTATAAATACTAAAAAATAATATGTAATAGTTAATAATAATGATAGTTACTTCTAGTGGGAATCAGGGTGATAGTTTCATCTTTTAAATTTTTTTTTAACGTTTATTCATTTTTGAGACAGAGAGAGACAGAGCATGAGCAGGGGAGAGGCAGAGAGAGAGGGAGACACAGAGTCCAGAGCAGGCTCCAGGCTCTGAGCTGTCAGCACAGAGCCTGACGCAGGGCTCGAACTCACGGACCGCGAGATCCTGACCTGAGCCAAAGTCGGACGCCCAACCGACTGAGCCACCCAGGCGCCCCGATAGTTTCATCTTTTAAATATTACGTGTGGTTTGAATTCTCTACAGTGAGCAGATAGTCTTTTTTTTAACAAAAATAATGAATCATCTTTTTTTTTAAAAAGTGAACCTATCATGATCTAATGACAGTTAAATGTAGATAATAACAGTGTTATTTTATTTTACATTTTGATACTATTTAAATTTAAAGAAATAATTATTCTCTCTGAATCACGTAAATTATATTCATTTAAAACGAGAGTTAAAAAGGTGTTTCAGAGACTTTCATGCCAGCAAGTGTGGTCTCCCAAGAGAAGGCAGGCAGATGACTGAATTTGGACAAAGTCTCAATGCCTCCTAGGAAGTGGTGGGCTTATATGACAGTGATCGGTGGGAGGATACTATTAAATTTAGCTTTACACTATATAGCATCTTAATGATTTTTAGCCCACTTTTTTTCTTCACTTCTAATGGTTTTATCCCAACCTACACTCTTTCAGAGCCTGATGGTACCCTGAAATTCTAGAGATGTGTCAATTACAGAGTAATAAATAGGTGTTAAACTGAAATCACTTACTTAGACATGTTCTGGGCCTTCTCAATAAATTTCATGACCTAAAAGAGAAAGATGCCAATTACAACAGATAATCACAAATCCCTCTGCAGGGAGGCCTGCCTTTTAGGCACTATCAACTATTCAATCTCTGTGTTCTCGATTAGGACACCAACTAATGAACTCAATGAACTGAAGAAACACAGCCACATCAGCAGCAAGCAAGGTCCTGAGAAGCTGAAGATGATCTGTCACTGTCAGGTCATATCTCTTGGTGCTTTGGTAAAATATTAATAGCCTGTCTCATGGAGTGACATCAGGGTAAAAAATTAGTAACTACATGAGGCACCTGGGTAGCTCAGTCAGTTAAGCGTCCGACTTTGGTTCATGTCATGATCTTATGGTTCGTGACTTCAAGCCCTGCGTCAGGCTCTGTGCTGACAGCTCAGAGCCTGGAGCCTGCGTCGGATTCTGTGTCTCCTCCTCTCTCTGCCCCTCCCATGCTCATGCTCTGTCGCTCAATAACAAATAAACGTTAAAAAAATTTTTTTTTAATTAGTAACTACAAAACACTTTTATAGAAATAGAGAAAAAGCTAACCAATGACAATTATGTCACATGTAAAAAGCCCCATTATCTTTCCATTCCACACCCACTAGCCCATCCCACTCCCCAACCCTCCACTCCATCCTCAAGGTAACGTCCAAGACATGATCAAGAAAAGAACCTACATCTCTTGGATTTTTGTTTTACTGGCTATGAAGCATCTCACATCACTGATCATTGTCATTACCCACTTCTCTGTCTACCAAAACACTTATTTTCTATATGCATACGCAGGCTTATTGCTCTTCTTTCCCAGTGTGAGCAAGCTACAGCATTTAGAAGTCACAGGTTTTTACACAGCCATGTCATAAAAGTAGAAACAGACATACCTGATCAAATCTGGTAGCAAAGAGATTGAGTGAAGTCACTATACCACCATTGGGCCCAAGTCCATACCTGGACACTAAGTTGAGGATTTAAATTACTTACAGATCAATTTAGATGATGAAGTTCATACTTAGGGTATCATTCACACAAACAGCATTATAACTAAGTGTTCCATGAATGGACACTGGCAGCTAATCCTTGACTAGTACATACCACACAACCCTAACGTCACAAGGAAATATTCATTATCAACATCTTCCCCATCCATTTGTCATTTTAGGGATGGCTAGGCAAAATGAAGTAATTAAAGTGACCAAAATGTGGGGCACCTGGATGGCTCAGTCAGTTAAGCGTCCAACTTTGGCTCAGGTCATAATCTCACAGTTCTTGAGTCCAAGCCCTGCATCGGGCTCTCTGCTGTCAGTGCAGAACCTGCTTCAAATCCTCTGTCTCCCTCTCTGCCCCTCCCCTGCTTGTATTCTCTCTCCCTCAAAAATAAACAGACATTAAAAATAAATAAATAAAGGTGCCTGGGTGGCTCAGTCAGTTAAGCATCCAACTTCGGCTCAGGTCATGATCTCATGGTTCATGGGTTCAAGCTCCACATCGGGCTCTCTGCAGTCAGCACAGAGCCTGCTTCACACCCTCTGTCTTCTTCTCTCTCGGCCCCTTCCCTGCACGCTCTCTTTCTCTCAAAAATAAATAAACATTTTAAATAAATACATAAATACATAAATAAAGAGACCAAAATGTAACAGATGCATCAGGCAGTGACAGCCTAATGGCATTAGCCATTAAGACCATCTATATCACACTGCTTGCTCTGATCTTTACTGATCAAGCAACCTGATTATAATTAGTTAACCCACTTAGACCTGCCTACACTCAAAGTACACATTTCACACAGCAATGTACTATGAGTTGATCCTACTACTAAACCTACTCATTTCTGAGTTTCCCAGTCAGAGGAGGTAGTGGCCTCCAAGGAAATACTACTTTGTGGAACCCAGGCACAGCACCAGCTAGCCTCTCTCACTCTGTGCTCTCTCCTTACCACAGCCTATAATTCTAGGAAAATGGTAAGAAAACTGAAATCACAAGCTGAAATAGTATTTCTAATCACCTACAATACCTTTCCTCACATTCATCTTTCCATCCTCTTAGTTCAATTACTTTGAAACGGGAGTCTGGGTGGCTCAGTTGCGTCTGACTCTTGATTTCAACTCAGGTCATTATCTCACAATTCATGGGTTCAAGCCCTACATTGAGCTCCGAGCTTGCTAGGAATTCTCTGTTTCTCCCTCTCTCCCACCCTTCCCCTGCTTGCATGTGCGTATGGGCACTCTCTCTCAAAATAAATAAATAAACTTTAAAAAAATCTTTTAAAAAATTACTTTAAAGCAATTAAATGCTTTTGCTAGTATTGTTTTACAAAGATACAAAAACACTCTCTCAAAGCCACAAAATATGGACAATAACTATCCAGTGATGAGTCAGCACAGGAGGCAGATGCAGAAAAGGATACTGTTTCATGACTTCTTTATACTTGACGGTGTCACGAATATC